CGATTTTGGGGACATGACCTGTGGCGTCCCCAAGGCTGGGTTTGGCTCTGCGCAGCCCCGGCGGCAGCGCGGAGCTGGAAAACCCGGTCCTGCTTTGCTCCTGCCAGGCTTTTTGCACATGCAATGCGCTGATTTCTAAGCGATAACTGCAGGTGGGCTGGGGAGCTGGCACCGGCTCCGAGCGCGCGCCTCCTGCCCGGGTGGCTCAGCGCTTTCCCCTCCCGGTGCCTCAGTTTTTTTTTCCCCAAGCATCGCTGGGCTTTGGTGACAGCGGAGCAGGCGCTGCCACCACCCGGGCTCTTCCAGTTCAATGTGCAGAGCCACAACCCCGGGTTGGGGGGGGCTCCCAGCAGAGTCCGAGGATGCTCCGCAGCCACGCGGGGCTGGGTGCCCCGTTTGGGGAGCCGCATCACACGCGGTTGGGGTGCCCCCCGCCCTGCTCCTTCTCGGGGGCAGCCTCTCCAGCCTTTTTGAAGCAGTACACCCCGAAAAGCTTGTACTTTTTGTCTGGGAAGCCCAGGTTACGCACGCCGGGCTCCCGGCCGCCGCAGCGAGCCCTTGGGTTGACGATGGGGTAGCGGATGCTGCCGTCCTCCAGCCAGCCGGCCTCGCAGCGGTCCAGCAGCTGGATTTTCCAGGCGGCGTAGAGCTGCCCCACCTTGGCCACGGCCGCCCCGTTGTTCTTGCAGGCTTGCACCGCCTCGGCGTAGCTCAGCTTGCGGTACGTCTTCAGGAAATAAACTTTGCCTACAAGGGGGGGGGTGGAATAAAAGAGGGGCTTGTCCGTGGTGGGGACCAGGCTGGGGCGCAGCGTCTGGTACCCGATGGGTGGGAGACGGGGAAGGGGGGCTCAGGGTGGGCTGCTCAGCATCACATCCATCTTTATGGGGAGCCAGGACACCCCCTTTCTGCCCTCACCCCCCCCCAGTTGAAGGCGATGGAGGAGGAGAGCAGCCGGCACCTTGGAGGGGGCAGATTTATGGGGGCTGCGTGGTGGCGGCCGGCGCTGGCTCCTGGTGGCGATTACGCCCGCTATTTATCCTGCCTGCCACCATTAAATAAACATCCGCAGAGCCCCCCCTCCGTGCTGCCCTGCCAGCCGGGAGGAATTTACACAGCCCCAGAGCCCTCCTGGCTCCGATCTGTCTTGCATGGCCCCGGCCTCATCCATCACCCGGGCCATTTGCTGCTGCAATTACCTCCGTCCCCTGCTCCTGCCCGGGGAATACAGGAGCCTGGCCGGGACCGGGTGCCCCAGCTTGGCCGGTGACAGGGGCACGTGGATGGGTCCTGATCCCTGAGGAGGGTTCCCAGCACTAAAACCTTCTTGATGAGTTGGGGAGCCCTGGGCAGGGACGTGCAGCCAATTCCTGCTCTCAACTGGGGCTGAGATGCTGGGCAGCACCCGGCAGGACCCCAGCACCAGAGTGGAAGGGGGATAGGAGAGGGACAACCCCTTCCCTCCATGGGGAACCACCACCACGGTGCTGGGAAAAGACCTCCCATCCAGCTAAAAAGTGGAGAAGTGCCTCAGTTTCCCCGGCACCCTTTACCGTTGAGGTTGGAGGTGAAGCAGAAGGCGTCGTAGTGCTCGCTCTCCTTGTGCCGGTAGCCGTAATTGCGCACCCCCACCGGCGTGTCCTTGCGGCCGCACTCCTCCCGCGGCCGGGAGATGGGGTACTGCACCGAGCCGTCCTCCAGCCAGCCCGCGTTGCACCAGTCCATGCCCTCCAGCCAGGCCTGGTGCAGTTGGTCGTGCGAGGCCAGGATGCCGTCCTGCTGCAGGCACGCCTGCTGCGCCTCGTGGAAGTTCAGGGTGTAGCGGCCCAGGCGCGGGTGGTAGGGGAAGATCACACCTGGGGGGAGGGCGTCGAGCAGGGCTGGGGCGTGTGGGAATCACCCTGGGGTCCCCCCCTTGCACCCAACCAAGGGGGCAGCTGCATCAGGGCGGTGCGTTACGGAGCAGCCCGGTGCTGTGGGGCATGGGGCAACGGTGGTGCCCGCATGGGACCGAACCCCGGTGTCCCCGCAGCGAGTGCGCACCAACCCAAGCAGCGTGGCTGTGCCTCCCGAACCCCTAAAAAAAGCTTTAATCCTTTTCTCAGCACCCCCAGAATGTCTCAGCCCATCCCGACAGGCAGCGGGGCCGCCGTTCAGCTCAGAGCCACGTGCGGCACCGAGGCTGCCACGCGTCCCGGACCCCCGGTGCTTTATGAGGCCGTGCCGCTATCTGTCTCTGCCATTTACGAGCTGCCAGCGCGTAAACCTGGAGCAACAATAAAAGCCAATAACAGATGCAATAAAACACGGCACACGCTGGGAAAAAACAAGCGGCCGTAAAGCTCAGCTCGGGGACGCAGCGCTGGGAACGGTGTCCTGGCCATCCCACTGAGGATGCCATGGGGCCACTCGGGGTCCCCCCCTTGTCGCCATGCCCCAAAAGGGCCGGTGCCGTGCAACTACCTTCAAGGTCCAGCTTGACCATGCCGGTGTCGTCCTCGAGCTCGTTGGTGACCTCGCACTCGTAGCGGCCGTAGTCCTGCAGGGTGACGTTGCGGATGATGAGCGAGGCGTCCCCGAAGCCGTCCTCCTGTAGGGCCGTGCGCCCGCGGTAGCTGCCGAACGCCCGCCGCGCCTTCCCCAGGGCCACGAAGACGTCGACGAAGGCCATCGGCTCCGTCACCTTGGTCCACTTGAGGCGGATCTCATCGGGGTCGTGGGCCGAGACGTCGTAGTGGTAGCGGCAGGGCAGGATGATGGTGCCGCCCCGGTGCGTCACCACCTTCCCCGGGGCCGTCTGCACCACCACGGCCCCGCTGTCCCCCTCTGCAAGGGACACCGAGCTCAGCGCCCTCCCCGTCCCCAAACCTGCCCCGGAGGCACAGAGTTTAACCCTGCACAGTGGGAAAGAGCCACGGTGGGGACAACAGGGTCAGGGGGCACATGGAGGTGTGGGGAGCACCTTTTTGGGGTGGAATTCCCCTCTTTTGGGGGGCTTTGCGGACCACGTGGGCAGCTCCATTGTGCTTTAATGAACGCTAAACCCAACACCCCGAAGGCTGCAGGCTCCTGTGGAGGGGGGGGGCCACCCTGGCACCCTGCTGCACCCCCCCACGAGGCCACTCACCCATGACGTGGACCACCTTCTTCCGTCCCCGGGGGCTGGGCGGCGTGTCGGAGGCGAGGACGCCCACCAGGAGCAGCAGCACGGCTGGGCCAGCGGCCCAGGACCCTCGGGGGCGCATCTGGGGGGGGGAGAACCAAACCCCTCAGCACCCCCCAGCACCCCCAGTTTGGGGGTAGAGGCTGGGAGAGCAGCAGATCAGAGCCCCCAGTCCCAACTGGTCCCCACCCCACACCCCGCATAGAAGAGCCCCAGGGACCCCCACCCACCCCAAGTGCCCAGACCCTGCATAGCCCCCACCCCGCCGAGCGTCCCCCACCCCGCAGGGCCCCCCCCAAGGGCTGCATCGGCGCTGAACTCCGCTTCACCCGCTCAGTTACAGCCGGGATGAATATTTCATGGCACACGCTGCGGGCTGGATCTCTTGAGTTATTTATGGCAGCGCCGGCACATCTGGAAACTGAACTGATGGCGCGGGAGGGGGGCAGCGGCTGCCCGAGCCCCCCCCCATCCTCCCCACCGCCCACCGAGCCCTGCAGCCCCCTTTTTTTGGGAACAACCCCAAATCCCGCTTGGGGAACGAGGACTCTGTCCCCCCATGGGGTGCCCGGGGGGGGGCTGCGATCCCCGCTCCCCGCCGTGCCCCAAATTTGCCCCCCACCCCCCACGCCGAGGGGCTGCGACCCCCGCGCAGGGCGCAGGGGGCTGGGGAGGGTGCGCGGTTGGGGGGCGGTGGCACCGGGCCGTGTGTCCCGGCCCCCCCCCCGAGGGTCCTGGGGCCGGGTAGGGGTCGGGCATCCCCTGTCCCCCCCCCGTGCCCCCCCCGGCGGCGGTCCCGGTGCAGTGTTGCAGTGCGGGGCACTGCGGCGACAGCGCCGGGGCTGCGGGACACCGGGAACCGGGGGCGGGCAGCGCAGAGCTGGGAGGGGGGGGCACCGCTCCGACCCCCCCCCCCTACACCCCCCTACACCCCAAATCCCGGTTCCCACCGGCAGAAGGGTCCCGGTACCGGGGGTGGGGGCTTGATAGGGGGGTGGTCCCGGCCCCCCCCCCCCCCCCTCCCTCTCCGGCACTCACCGTGGCTCCGCGGCTCCCGTGCCCGGTGCCCGGTGCCGGGGGGGGGCCGGGAGAGCTCCGGTGCTGCCGGTGCTGCCGGTGCGGCTCCGCGCAGGGGGCGGCACCGGGAGCCCGGCCCGGCCCTGCCCCGGCTCCCGGCGCTGCGCAGGGCGCCCGGCTCGCCAAGGTCACCGGTACCGGCACCGGCACCCCGGCACGGCGGCTCCCGGGGCGCTGGGAGGTTTGTGGGGTGACCCCGGCTCTGTCCCCGGTCCCTACAAGGGCAGCACCCGGGGGTCGTATGGGGGGGCGCGGGTGGGGACCCTCGGTTTGGAGAGGGTGTGAGGGGGCACCCCCGAGACGCCGCCAGCACCTGCACACGGGTGCACGGACACCCATGGGTGTATGGACCCCAACCCGTGCACAAAACCCCAGAAGTGTGCACAAAACCCCATAAGTGTGTACAAAACCCCATAAGTGTGCACAGCCCCCCTGTGTGTGTGCACAGCCCCCCTGGCACGCACAAAACCCCATGTGTGCGCACAGACCCACACGCATGTGCCTAGACCCCACGTGTGCACAAAACCCCATAAATGAGCACAAAACCCCAGAAGTGAGCACAAAAACCCCATAAGTGTGCACAGACCCCCCCACGCCTCTGCACACACGCGTGCATCCCTTGCACACGCACCGAGCATCCCCAGCCCCATCCCGAGCACCAAGGGCAGGCAAGGGCAGCGCAGGCATTGGAGCCCCCCCCCCAGCCCCTGCAGCCGGCACAGGGGGCGCACGGGGGGGGGACAAAGCCGAGGGCACAGGGTGCAGGCAGCGGGGTTACAAAGCCGGACCCAAACTCCTTTATTTTGTAAACATTTTTTTCCCTGGCGTGGTCCCATCCTTCCTGCGAGCATCCGGGTGGGCCGGGGGCCTCGCGACACCCCCCAGCCCCCCCCAGCTGCACCCATGTCCCCGCAGGGTGCACCAGGTCCCCCCGCCAGCACCCCCTGGGGACATTGGGGTGTGGGGGGACGGGGACTGGAGCATCCCTGGGGACACCTCTGCCAGCTCGGCCCCACTGCAGGTGGTTTTTTTTGGGGGGGGGCAGCCCCCCCCTCACTGGTACTTCTTGCCCATGCTGGTGGGGGCGCTGGGCAGGAAGAACGCGGGGCGGCGCAGGCAGCGGAGGGCCAGGAGCTGCGGCCCCAAGGCGTAGAGGACGTTGGTGACGAGGAAGCTCCACCAGACGTCTTCGGGGGTCTGGTAGGGGAAGGGCGTGCGGGAGTGCAGCGAGGAGCCCAGGTGGGAGAACTGAGCCTGGGGACACAGGGCGGGGGTTTCATGGGGTGCCCGGCCCCAAAACTGCCCCCCCGAGCCCCCTATTTCTGCATCCGCCGGCTCGCTCCAGCCTATTTCTGTCGAAATTACCCACTCTGATCAGATCCACCGAGGAAAAAGTAATTATCGGGCTCCGGCAGCGGCTCTGGGAGCTGCTCCAGATGCGGGTACAGCCCCGTTCCCTCCCTCCCCCCCCCCTTTTCGCTCCCTCCTGGCTGGGACTGAAGCCCCCCCACCTGCGCCACGGCTCCGGCGAACACCAGGCTCCAGTCGGGCATCCAGGAGCAGCCCGGGCGCAGCAGCCCATAAATGCAGAGGCAGAAGAAGGGGAGGACGTAGAACAAATAGAGCAGCATCTGGTGGAGCGGGGGGACACAGAGGGTCACCGCGTCCCCCACGGCACGGGGGGGTCCCCATGGGATCCACCCCTATCCGCCCTGGGGATCCCACCCTCACCTGCACTTTGGGGTAGGCAACGGGGTCGCGCAGGTAGGGCTCGTGCTGGTAGATGTACTCGAAGCAGGAATCAGCAGGACAGTCCAAAATCACCTGCGGGGGCAAAGGGGGGGGGGATGCGGGGGACCGTCGGGTGGGTGCGCCCACCCCGTCCTCCCCACGGCACCCATGGGACCCCCCCCCCTGCAGGCACCCAGCGCTCACCATGCCCCTGAAGAAGGTGAAGGCAGCCACCAGGACCAAGAGCAGGACCAGCACCACGTCCTGGGGCCGCTGGTGGAGCCACTTGCGCTGCTCCTCTGCAACCTGGGGGGGGGGAGAAAAAACACCACGGGTTGGGCTCCGCTCCCTAAAGTCGCTGCCCCCCAGGTCCCGGCCCCTTTTTGGCTCACCTGCTCCGCCGTGAGACACGGCAGAGCCCGGGGCTGCTGGAAGAGCTTCACCCCAGCCCAGATGGGGATGAGGACGTAGGGCACGTTGAGCAGGAAGGCAGGGCTGATGTCGGAGCTGTACTTGCCTGGGGAGGAGAGCACAGGGTGGAGATGGTGCCCAGCCCCGTGCCAGCACCCAGTGCCCCAGGAGCTGGGGGTGCTGGCGGAGCCGAGCAGCAGGCCCCCTCCGTGTCCCCGTACCTATCAGGTTCCCGAGCAGGAAAACCACGATGCTCATCATCAGAGAGCCCAGCCAGAAGAGCCCCAGGCTCCTGTAGCTCTTCCTGCGGAGACAACGAGGATCAGACCCCTCTGCGAGGCTCAGAGCTGCCCTTCCCCAAAATTCGGCACCCCTCCGGCCCCTCCGAGCCCCGGGAAGGTGCCGCGTGGCAGCGGGACCCCCTCTCCTCCCCGCTCACCGCTGGCTCATGGCTGTGATCATGGCGAGGTAGAGCCCGTAGTGGACGAGGCCGTCCCAGTAACAGATCATGATGCCGTGCGCCGTGCGCAGGTACGGCTCGCCCTGCCCGGGGGAGAGACATCACAAGATTTTGGGTTTTTCCCACATTTCCCAGGGGACTTGGCTGCTCTGGGCGCACTCCAGCTCCAAGGATTTGGGGAGCCGGAGCTGCGCCCGTGCGCACGGAGCCGCTCGCCACGAGCCCCCCGAGGCAGGACGAGGAGGTACCTCCCTCACGTAGACCTCTGCGAAGCCCGAAACGAAGCCATCCTCCTCCAGGGAGATGATCAGGTCGACGGCAGAGGTGAAGGAGAACGCCACGAACACTGCAGGAGGGCGGCGGGGGGCGGCTCAGCGCGCAGCCCCCCCCTCCCCACCGCCTGGGCCACGGGTGCCGGGCGCCCACCCCAGGGACTCACCGCAGAACAGGGGGTCCTGGAAGTAGCTCCCTGCTCGTAGGAAGTAGGTGATGGAAACCAGGCCGGCGAGCACCAGCACAACCGTCAGCACCAGGGGGCTGCTGTGGGACAGGTTGTGGGGTTCAGGCATCCCGCAGGGGGGTGGCACCCCATGCACGAGCTTGTGCCCTATTTCCCCTGGTCCAGGTGAACCCCCTCAGCACCCCCTGGTCCTGACAGATCTCCACGGCCTGAAATAACACTGGGGAGGTGAAACCCAGGGGAATTTCAGGTCCAGTTCCATGGGAAGGGTTTGCCTGGATGAGGCTGCTGTGGTAGGATGGGCAGGAACCCTACACACACGCACCCCATTGTGGCCACAAGCTGGGTTTTCACCCAAAATGCGTTTTGAGTTGGAATCGCTGGGATTTCCATCTCCCTTCTGAGGAGCAGAGCTGCCAGCCCACTCCAACACAGGCGGCTGCTCGCTGATGGACTGCTATAAGAGCCCGCGTAAACCGATTATAAAGCAAAGCAGCAGCGAGAAGACAAATACTGCAAATTTGTCCTAAGAGTGCAAACAAGTTGTAGGGAAATCTGTCCTGAGCTTGCTGCTTCTCTTCCAAGAAGCAATTGCATTAGCTGGAATAGCTACAGGTCTGCTCCAGCCAATTCTTCGCCTTCTCATGCTATAAAGCCAAAAACATCGTGGCATTTTTCACTCGAGCCTTTAATGCTGTTACCAAAGGGAAGGAAAAACGTAAAGCCCTGGCTAACTGTCTGCAGAGGCGCTGGTGTCAACAGCTTGCCCTGGAGAAACTCCAATTACCAGCCCCAGCGATCCCAGGCTTGTGTTCTGCGGGTAGAAATGTTCTTCTAGGGGATGGGATGGGATGGGACATTGGGATGGGATGGGATATTGGGATGGGATGGGATGAGCATCACAAGCAGCTCTGAGTGGGGTTGGGTTGCTCCTCACCCCCCCTGCACGCACTGGGTGCCCAAACCCAACAGCCACTCAACAAAAACAAACACTCCATCAAATAATTGAACTGTCTCCGCGTAAGTGCGTTATTACCAGCGTGTAATTAATTACTCCATAACTGCTCCCATGGAATGATTAATTCCAAATTCGAACGCGCGCTTGTGGCGGAGCAGCACGGCACAGGGCTCTGTTAGATGTCACCCTGCGTGCAATGGGTTTTGGGGCACACCAGGGCCACATCCCACATCCAGCAGCATTTTGGGGGCTGTGCTTGGGGTGCCCAGGTCCCCCTGCGAGGGCGAGGGGGGCGTTTTGAGGACAGCATCGCTCGGCACCGCAGCCTGATCGAGAAACATGGAGTCATATCCCTGCCCCATCCACACAACGCGAGGGCAGGAGAATAATATTGTTACGGGCTCCAATTTGGGCAGCACGCTGGAGGTGCTGGTGCTCCTAACAGTTACTGATGGGTTTCATCTGGTGTCACATTAAGCAGAAGAGCCCGGGGGGCTCAGAGGGATGGATCCGGGTGCCCCAGTGGCAGGGCTGCAGAGCCCCGGTGCTGTGAGGGTGCAAGGGATGAGCCAAGCACAGGGGGTGGAAGGAAAGACCAAAAAATGCAAAGGAAGATCGGGAGGCTTTGAAGTGAAGCTTTAGGTTGGGAAATCCTCGGTTCTGCAAGGAGAAGTTTGGCTGAAAGTCCTTGGTGCTCAGCGGGAAAGCCGAAGGAGAAATCAGCTGTGCAAAGAAACGCGCAACAAAAGGGGAGAGGAGGAGGATGGGGTCCTGGTAGGAACGGGAGGATGGAAAGTACAGAAAATTGAGAAAAAGGAAAAGGGGAGAGCCCAGAGCTCCTGAGCGTGGGACTGGAAATAAGAGAAGAGCAAGCAGCCGGGGGTGGCTTTACAAAGGGAAAGAAAACGAGCAAAGGGGGTGGTGGCAGGGCTGCGGGGAGCCACGCAGAGAGCTGACAGCAGCTGGTGGCACAGCCACTCGGTACCAAACTCCCCCAGGGCTGCTAAAAATGCCCGAGGAGAGGGTGATGGAGAGGCGGGGGAGCGCTGACCGGCCACAACACGGCTCTGTCGGGCTTCCCAGTCCCCGGGGGTTTGGGAAGTGGCGACCCCGGCCACGCTGCGCGTTGTGCAATGAGCCTGAGCAGCCCGGCTGGATGTCTGCTCGCTGATAACAGGATTTATGTCATAAACGCAGCCGGGAACCACGTCGGCACAGTCCCAGCCCGCAGTGGCCTTTCTATGGGTTCGGCTGGGGCAGGAGCACCCCGGACCTGGTGCCGCGCCTTGGGCTCCAGCAGGACCCCAGCTCCATGCCCCAAACACTGCTCTCCCCCCTCTCCAGGTCCGGATGGGACCCAAGGGCATGTCCCAGCTGGGTCTGCTCCCACTGACAGCTCCCTGACCCCACAGTCCTTATCCTGGGACAACCCGAGTCCCCCTCACACCCCTCAGCCTGGAGCCAGCGTCCCACACCAGTTCAGGACCGGACCTCTCCCCAGTTGCCCCCCAGTTGGGATCGCTGCCACCAGCACCCGGCCAGACCCAGCGCCCTGCCCCAGAAGCTTTATCCCAGGCCAGTCCCGGACCCGCACTCACTCTGCCAGTGCCACCAAGCCGCTGACACCAAAAGCCAAGGGGAAGGCGAGCAGGGAAGGGGCGAGCGCGCCCGGCACGGCGGGGAGCTGCATCCCCACCGCCACCGCTGCTGGGAGCCCGGACTTCGGCCCCAAGGCTGGGCAAAGAGGCAGCGCCCTTAAAGAGCTAGAGCCGCCCCCAGCAGGAAGGTGAAGCCCCCGGGGGGGGTCTGAAAAAGGGTGAGGGGGTCCCAGGAGCCCCCCGGCCTCACCGCAGGACCACAGGGTTGCAGCACTCGAGGGCTGCCTCGAGGCACGGCACAGGCGGTGGTGGGGGATGAATAAACGCGTTCCAGAAGAGGCTTTGAATGTTTGGGGATTGGGCTTTTTTCTTTTTTTTTCTTTTTTTTTTTTTTTTTTTTTTTCTTTTTCAATTCATTCCGGAACCCTTAAGTACTTAAAAGAGCCAAGAGGACGCACCTCTTGAGATCTGTAAGAGGAAAAGAGAAGCGCTTGAAAGGCAGCACTTCATCCACGCCTTCAGTAAGCGAATTGAACGGAGCAGAAAGCAGCAGCTTTGAGGTCTCTGACTCCGGCTGGGAGCCCGGCATTAACCTGACCTCCTCCTCTCCACCTCTCCTCCGCACCTGCCCGGGGAGAGACAGGTTTACAAACTCCCACAGCATTTAGCAGACCCCGAAGGCGGCCGCTCAACCTTTCACCTTCCCCACAAAGCCTCCAGCACCGTGCCACTGTGTCACTCTTTTGCCCTCTTGCTTCAGAGTCCGGGGACTGAATTAACTGCCCTGCACTTTGCCCTGGGCTTGCTCATCACCGCTGGGTGCCGGAGGACTCCGAACACACCCGCGTGCCCCGTCAGCGCCGAGGCAGGGCCACGAGGAGCAGCACGACCCGCGGGGAAGGAAGGGCACGAGCCTAACACCAAGGGGTCAGTCTCCGGGGCTTGGTAATGAGGCTTGATTTGGGGCTGAGAAGCCACCCAGCAGCCCCACTTGTCCAAAAAGCAGCACGACAGCCTGTAAAATAATAAAAAGGGTGAAGGAAATAACAAAAAGGGTGAAAGCAGGTAATGAGGGGCAGCCTGAGTGATAACCTTCAGATCTTCCAAGCCACCGAAGGCTCCAGAAGTGTCCCAGCAGGTTTCTTGCTCTTGCAAAGACAAACGAGCCCCAGCTCCTTTGCCTCTCCCCAGCCAGGCGATTGCAGCGGGGTCTCCTGCGCTGTGCTGCCACATAAACATGGTCAGCACGGGCACTCGTGCTCGGCCACGAGCACCAGGAATTCATTCTTTGATCCAAAAGAGCCCAACTTCGGTGACCTTCCGAGCACGCCACCACAAGCGTGTTTGATTAGGTTTCTGAAGATGAAATCCCTGCTTTGTAGGTAATGATGGCAAGGAGGAGGACTGCGCTAAGTGGCTTGCTGAGTTTCTGCAGAATTGACCCCTGCCTGCTGCTCTCGGGGGCACGGGGAATATTGCATTATTTACAATGACACAAGGAAAACAGAGCACAGAAAAGCACGTATTGATGAGCGCGGTCTGCACGCGTTATCAAAACAGAAGGGGCTCAGGAAAACCAAGGCCGCTGTGTTGAAATAAAAGAATAAAACAACTTTTGCCAACGTGACGCCAGGCAAGAACACAGCAATCTCTGTAGTATCAGATTAGCTCTAAAGACTCAATCAGGAACAGCAGAAAGCCCGTCCACGAGCGCTCACCCTGCCTTTAAGACCATGCTGTGCCCAGGTCATTGTTGGTACTAAAAGGATGCCGTGCTACGTGTGCTTGGAATAAAAAAGAAATTCAGAGAGTCTCCACTCTCTAACAGCCTCCCTGCACGTCCCTACCTGTACAGAAAACCCAGCAGAGTGAGAAATTTACCCTGTGGTCCTCCAGTCTCTGGAAACCGAGGAAAATCAGCTCAGCAGCCCCAGCTCTCTCCAGCCAAACCCCAGCAAGGTGAGCCAGGAGCTGAGCTGCACCACTCCAGGGAGGACCCACAGGGATTGTTTTCCTAACTTCGCAGGAAAGCACAGCTGTCACAGTGACCTTAACCATTTAAAAATGCTGCCAGGTTTCCTATCTTTATTTCCCAATCTTTCATGCTTGGTGCCTATGCTGATTAGCCATACCACGTGCAACCTCCCTGTGCACAAGCCATAGTGAAAGCACGTGGGGCACACTCCCCAGCAGCCAACCCAGCTCCAAGGTGCTCACGAACTCCCCTTTTCCCAGAATGAACCCCTACCGAATTCATGGTTTCAAATGTTTTTATTGAAAGCCAAGCCCTTGACTCTATGATGTTAAGAAAAGTTAACAAAGAGAGAATCACATGCCAAGTAGCTGGACTGAGGGAAAACAAATGCCCCCCCCCAGCCCCAAATTTAATTTTTTTCTAGGATGGCTGGAAGGAAAGAAATCTAGAAGAGGCCCTGAGCCTCTGAAAACTCAAGGCAAGAGTGCTCTTTCCCGTAATTCAGTGATTAAAACTAAGGAACAAGTGAGTTTTATTTTATTTACAGATTGAATGAAGAAAATTTGTACTTGTAGAGGAGTTTCATAGGACAACAAAATGCAAATGACCTTTGATAAGCTGCGTTCGAAGGCTTGGTTCTTCGTCACCCACATCCACACACAGTGTTAGCAAGTCTCTCATTTTGCTAAGAAGCTGTGGGTGAACTTAGTGTTCAAGAAACCAAGAGGCTGTCGCCTCTGAAGTTGAATGAACATCCCCCTGCACTCCTCAACCCTTGCAGCCAATGCTCCACGCACTGATCCACACCTCTTCTTCCACGGGACAGAGGTAAAACAACGAGGCACTGGTTTTGCAATGTCAGTTGGAGGTCAGACTGTACTTCAGGCTTCATGACACCATCAGAACCCAGTTTGTCAGGGAATGAAGACCGAACATTAGCCCCAAGAGTTGGGTTGGTTGTCATATTTGCAATAAAAAAAATAAATCAACAAAAAAAGAGCAGCACAGGCTGCACATCAGAACAACAGAGGACCTGCCATGAGGCAAAAGAAAATGCATTCCTTGTAAGTAACATGGCACCGAGCTATATACAAATGGAGTCCCTGAACTATTCCTATTGGTATCTTTGGTGCTACCCTTCCACTCAGCAGGGCACCGTGTAAAAATCTCCATTCTCACCTGCTCCCTTACCCTTCCTGAATCCCATCCAGGCCGTGTTACAACACGGTTGTCATGACACTCGAGTGCGCAGTGAGTGGGCTCGCAGGCCGTTCTTCTGGGTGAAAGATGGTTTTGTGACTTCAATAAGTTTTACAATATTAGCAAATAAGAGAATGATAACGTAGTTTCATAACATTTCACAGTAAAATTACAATTGTTTTGAAAATACATTGTCCCAAAAACATTCTCAGTAGTAAGGTCGTCGTGGATTGTTCTGTGGGGAATAACGAGAGAAAATTAATCAAAATTGCTGTCTTCACAGAACAATGAGCATTTGAGCTTAATTATCTGAAAAAGCCACTGAAACGTGACATTTCTGACAGTGAAACCTCAGATTTCCCATCAAAAGTTACAAGCGTAGTTTTCTAGGTGTGCTGGCACGCTGAATGTAACAGAGGCAAATGCAAACCTAAAAGCCTTCTGCAATCAGGAAAACAATTATTCAAAATACGCCACGGATTCGTGGACGACCCATCTGCTTCCTTTGTGTGCAGCATTTATATTTAGTACCAGAGAAAACTAAAACCAGCAACTTTTGTATTAAAAAACGTGAGGACAACTATGCATCCATGTATGCTTTGCTAACGACAAGTTGATTCAGAATGAGAATGAATCAAAGAAACTTTCACAGCATTTGCTTGCTTAAGCACTAGAAACACTCCCACCCTTGTAAGATGTGCCCAAAACCTCCATGGATTTGTCACTGTCTGGTGTGGGACACCTTACCAATGGATTTGGTCGGAACCGGTAGGCGAGCATCATCCGTTTACGGAATGCCTCGTACTCATCATCCTCCTTGGTTAGCTCTGCAGGACGATCGATGCCAAAACCAGCTCCATCCACAGCTGTAGTCCCCCTGTTTGGAAAAAGGGAAGAAAGCTTCCGAGGTAAGCAAACATGATCACATCCCACTCCTGCCTTCCTCCTGCTCCTGAAGCTCTGAGAACAAGCGTCAGGGAGCACTGGGCATCATCGCACAGAGCACCGCATCGAGACCGACAGGTAATACCGAGCAGATTATTGTATTTGCCACGTTTCTGCGTTGCCCTTCCAAATCAATGATGCTTGCTGGTGTTAGATGGAAGTAGTAGTGTCAACATGTATTTGCTTAAACTTTGAGAGCTGGAACAGAAAAACTGTCTGCGCGTTGGATGCCTCCCTACAGAACGATGCTCTGACTGGCAGCCTAACCTTTGGCAACCGAAGGTGCTTTTGTACCTCAGTGATTGGAGGTAGAGCTGTCAAATAACATGCCTGCCTCCCATTCCTTCACTCCAGAACAGTCCAAGAGTGGAAACAGCTCATTTCCATCTCCTTTCAAACCTTCTTATCAGTCCTGAGAACATCAGAGATGGTAGAGCCCAAGCAAATCACCACCCTTGTTCAACCACGGGCAGGAGCTGCCCTCCTTCTGTTTTAAAGCCTTGATCACAGCAACCTTTTATCACAGGTCCTCTCTGAACGAATAAGCATGCTGCCAGAGAGATCTTCTTGCAAAAGAGGAACAGAATCACTTTGTAGAGTTACTTCATGTTGTGCAGTAAATAAACAACTGTTATTTATAAAAGGATCTAATGCTAAAAAGTAATTCAGAGAATTTCCTGACGCTGGTTTTGAAGTTCAGCACATGCTACCAACAGACGATCCATCTAAAAAGACATTCTATTTTTGGATGGAACTCTCCCAAAGATTTTTTATATAAAATGTGATCAAATCAGTAAACTTCTGTGCAAAAAAGTGACATCAAGAGAGCTGCATGATCACACAGAAAGCTCTCTGCTATGGACTATGCCAGCTTTCAAACGCAGGTCTATCAGCAGCATATATTGGTAAACGCCGCCTTCCATCCAGGGTACACCAGGGACTAGCTAGCAGGCATCAAGAGTGCTCAGATGCAAAAGGCACGTTCTTTAATATTTAAATTTCTGACTTTAAAGACGTGCCCTCTGAGAGGTGAGGTACAGACGGGTGTTATCTTCATTTTATAGATGGGGAAACTGAAGAGAAGGCAACTAAGAAAAACACACTATGCAAATTGAGATTTGAAATAAAACACTGGCTCAGATCAGACCTCCTGCCTGAGACACAGTAAAAAACCAAGTCCTTTTGGGGAGGGAACCCCAAATAAATCAGAAACAATTTTTCTCCTTTGCTGTGAGGGTTCCATATTCTGTTCAAGTGATGAATTGCAGTCACATTCACTGCAGCTGCTTCCAGTAGGCTAGGGTAGGAGCATCAATTATCAGCCTAAGAGGAAAGGACTAAATCAATAGTAGAAGAACTCTTACTTGCTGACTGGGTTTTTAATCCCCTGTCCATCTGAGCCAAGTCCCTCGCCTTCCTTCCAGCCCATCTTCATTAGCATTTGATAACCTATGTTTTCCACAGTCAGTTTGAACTCTTTGTATTCAGAATAATCTGGTTCACGTCCTTCCTGCAGAGAGACAAAACGCAGAGTTGGCTATTTTGCATATGCACGTATATGCCTGTCTTTGTGGGTCAAAAGAGGGAAAAAATCAGCTTCAGCTCCTGGATGCTAGGGTGGTTCTGACAGTTAATAGCTAGCATGATTTCTTGGGACTCCATTTCTGTACCACCACAGAGAAGAAAACAGGTAAATAATAAAGCACTGCACAGCCATGCATGCCCTACAACATAATCTGCAAGAAGCAGGGAATGCTACTGTGAGATTAAGCTGAGACACATTCAGCTCCTTGAATTTGAAGTTGCTCACTGGATCAAGTTTCAGATACGGTTCTTATATAAAACCAGGATCTCCAGGGAACGTCAGAACCCATGCCGGTTTCAAGAAAACCTTATCACGGATGCCAGCATCAGGAAGTTCTACAGTTTAGGAAGAATTGGCAGGTATGAAGTACTTTACATAAGCTTTTTGTGTGCTTTATGCTTCTGCTTTAGTACAATTGTCCGGATAAAAACTCAAATTTTCCTTGCTTGGTGTCAGCCACTACTCATCTCAAACAGGAACGGCAGAGAAATGGGGGGTAGTCGGAGAGGTTTGTCTCTGATTTCAGCTAACCCTCAAATGCTGTCCCAATAGTCTGTTCTCTACCACAGCTGTTTCTCTGCAAAGAGCAAACAGCTAACCCCTTGTTTCCTACAGAAGTAACAGGGCTTCCAGTGAAGCATTTCAAAGCTGCAAGGCAGCTAACTGCTCTGACAAAGGGCTAAACGTGCTTGAGGTCTTTCTCTCACTGCTGCAGGGCAAATAGGAAGCACTGCCACTGCCCTGTGAAATCTCTGCTATTTCACCTTCAATGCCTTGAACGTCTCCATGAATTTCTCCAGCTCATCCGGTGGAAGAAAGTCCCCGATGAAATGCTTCCCTCTGCCCATCTGGGTCAGCTGCTCAGCCCACTCTGCCCGAGAAACAAAGAGAAAACAGCAGTAACGCGGCGTTCTTTGACTCGAAATTTCAGAGAGTTTGTGAAGCAGAAAGCCTCACAGGAACAAGCTGTTATTATCTCCACTCAACAGGGAGGGAAGCCACGGCATGGAGCAGTGAAAAGTGCCCCCTGTAACTCCCAGGCTAACAACATGATCTCAGACATCTCCCCCTGGAGGCCTCTGTACAACTGCAGAGCAAGCGAGGTGTTTGCCCGGCAGCTCCCCACACACCTCGTGTCTTGTCCATCTCCATGCGTCGAAGCTGATGCTCCCACGTTCCCAGCTCGCTGTCTACCTCCTCGTCGCTGTCGTAGCCGTGCTGGTGCTGCTGAATCGCCTTCTCCCACATCATCTGCATTTCCTGCATGGCTTGCTTGTGCTTCATGATCATGTCGTACATCTGCTGCATCTAGGGGAAGAGAAGCAGAGACAAAGCGGTTTACAGGCAGCAAAGCCTGCCACAGAGGCACACAATTTGGTGGTAGAGCCCACAGCAGCCTCAGCTGCCATTCAGAACACAGGTTATGACAACTACAGATCCCAACGGGCAGCGCTGCTGCTTGATCTGATCCGCTCGCTTCTCAGATCAAACAGGAGCATTACGTGCTGGTTCCTCCGAGAGGCACCTTGATATTAAAGCTGCCACCGTATCACCCCCCCCAGCTTAAACACCCCCCTCATGTTCCAGCAAAAGCCAATTCTGCTCCCACTCCGCCCCAGCCTGCATGTATTCCCTCACCTTCTCCCCACTGCTAAAGCAATACATAACCAGCTGCAGACGTGACACATCAGACCTTATAGATTTTGGGTTTTAGGTTGGTAGCACAGCAATTGGCTGGCTTAATTCGTATTCCCCAAAGTCCTTTGAGATATTTCTGCTGACTGCAGCATCACATGATTCTTAGACATTCAGAACAAATCCTAAAGATTTATTTGTGGGCCACGGAAAACTTCCCTTGCTATCTTCTCCTCCATTTTCCCATCTAACTCCGCCACGCTGCAGCACAATGTGCAGGTACACGAACGATTTTGGAAGTATCTTCAGGGCATTACCTCCTGCTGCTCCTTCAGCTGTTTCTTCTGGGCTTCGGAGAGCTCTGTCACACCCACCAAGCCAACTGGTTTCCCTTTTTCATAACCAAGACCCTTGAGGTCCTGAACTGAAATAAGCACATGTAAAAAAAAGACTTTCAAAAATCTGAGACAGCTGCTGAGGCCACCAAAACCATTCCTTGAGACCCCCCTCCTGAAGTTGCAGACCCATTTCATGGTTCCTGAATTCAGATACTTAGAGGTAGAACAATCACCTGGAGGAACTTAAAAGAGGTAGGAAAGCCCCTGGCTTGCACTGTTCTCGCCAGCCAGCTCAGAGCAATCCCTTCCCACAGCCCAGGGCTCACACCAGCAGGCTGGCAACCCACGTCTCACATCCTCAGAGGTCACGCTGCACGGCAATCTGCTATGACACGCTTTAAAAATTATTGCTCCTTTCATCTTAATTCTCCTCCTAAGGCTTCCTCAGGAACCCAAGCCACTGCAAAGAGCGATTCTTAATTATTCGGAATTGAGGCACGAGGAGATCTGAGCCTGTCACCGTATTGTTCAATCTGCGCACGTAAGTGTCTGCTGATTACTATGTAAACAGCAACTTCATTCAAAATGAAAAGCAAATGACCACATTAGAATAAAGACATGAGCATTATGCTGCTTTGGAAGTTACCAATCCCCAAGGAGATTTTAGTTCCTAATCTACAGGCTCAAGAAGAGCATTGCTAGGGATGTCGCCACTGGTTTCAAAGAGGGGACATTTTAAGTCTCTGCTCGACAATCCCACTGATGCGTCCTCCTTTTCTTGCAGCATCCCATTTGGAAGCTCCTCCTTCGGAGTGACTTTTGCTGTTGTATCAGGTAAACCCTGAAATAAGATATTAAGATTACCTGGGCAGGAAACCCACTGATTTAAAATGACCACACGACACCGAGTTCAAAGCACAAGCTAAAGGAAAGAAGAGGGGAGGGGAAAAAAAAGAAGGGAAGCCTATTTGTAGTTGCTGTGCCATGAAAAAGAGTAATATAAACATTGCTGGGGCTGCAAAAAAGAGATTTACAGTGGAGATTGCCTTGCAATTGTGGTTCATATATATCTAGCAGAGCTGGCAGCTCCCCTCTAACGCACCTCAGAATTAAGATTCCAACGGTTAAATATTTAAGGGATTAAAAGAAGAGACACAACCACACTTGAAAGCGCGTTGCATTTTTCAACACCAGGAAAAGAATTTCCTCCTAATGACTGCAAAAACCTCAATTTGAATGTAAGTCCAGACTACAGTTAAATGATGCTTCATTAATTATTCATTATCTATTAATTATGAAGCCCAATAATAATAGGATCATTGTTCATGACACCAAATGTCTACACAGCATGCTAATTAGGCCCCAGGGGTCGTCTTCTCCCTTCCTCTTATTCTCACCCAGGGCAATTGATCTGAGCACTCTCATCCCCCTCCTTTCCCGCATGCTTTTGGCCGAGCGTGCCACAATTGGGAAGTGGCTTCCTTAACTCCAGCCTCCCAAGGAGAACATGAAACAGCACATCCAGCCTCCCTCGCACAGCCAGAGCCTCTGCACATTCGCACCAGCACCGGCAGTCAACTCTGCAGGAAGAGTTATGTAAAACACTGCAAGAGGTTTTCTGAGAGCAGGGAAGCAATAAGTGGTGTTACACCAGGCTTGGTGCTAGGATAAGCACTTTCAGCTCCCAAGAAATAAGAGCAAATAGAAAAATAGACCTAGCTACTTACTGAAAAAGAGCCTGATTTCTGTCTCAGAGAGCAGTGACATTTAGAGGCTGTTTTGAAGAACACACGACGCTATCCCACGTAAAAACCACTACAAAGAAGAATCCGGCCCCAAACGTTACGTGAGACTGGGGCACTTCAGCATCAGCCCTAGTCAGGGATTCACCTCCTGTCTCAGGGCATGGGAAAGCTTTCTCTGAATGCACCGAGGAAGACTCTGCCCTTCACAGAGGTCAGCAGCTCTTTGGCTTCGTTCTGAATTGCATAAACACTCAGGCTAAGAGCCAGGCATGGCTCTAGAGGCCCTACCAGCTGGTAGCTCGCCAGCATATATAACCACCATAAAGGAGAGAGGTGAGACTGTAGCATCTTCTTTTACACCCCAGAAAGCATATGCCACTGCTGCTTCCTGTGCTAAAACTACATCTGGTTCGTCTGACTGCTCTGGTACCTTGCAGACTTTGTGCTGAGATGCTGCTGAAAGAGTCACTGCAGAAATTGAGCTCTGGGGGATATTTTTGTAGTCTTGGCCCAGAGCATCACAATACAGGAAAAGTTGATGGAAAAAAGCAAGGCTGTGCCCTAAGTCTATGTTTGAAGATAAAAGCAAAAAAAAAAAAAAAAAACAACAAACCTGTTTATAAATAAGGTCAATGTATTTGCATAAAAATAGATAATAAAATTTATAAGATCCTTACACCAAGCAACAATATGAAGCAAAAGATATGAAGCTGCTTCTCAGCCTCCTGTTCAGCAGGCTTGGGAGAAGTATTTTCCCTTGAATGACATCAGCTTTGCCTACAGGGTTAATGGTGCAGTCTATCTGCAGCATTGGCAGAAGACTACCTGAAGGTTTCTCCCTTTCCCACATGCCCAAAGAGGAGCCTGTTACAACTGAACTGAAGGTCCTTTAAGAACAGCAGAAGAAATCCCAATAAAGAAGTGCCTGAGTTGTTGTCCTACAGCCTGAAGATCTTAATTAAAACTAACCAGACCCCAAACAATCCAATATTAAGTTTCAGAATATTGTAACGACAGCCTATAGTATCCCATTAGTCCACAGAATCCTCTAATCTCAATATCTGTGCTCTGTTCAGCTTTTCAGATGTTATAGTCCCTGCAGTACATACGCAGTTAAGTGTTTCGATATCAATAAAAGAGCCTTGTTTCTGTCCAAAAGGACTACATTTTCTCCTCTCCACGATACTGATCTACTACTAAGAGGAGACAAGAGAGGAATCAGAACAGCCCTCCACTAAATCCAGAACAATTGCTAAGGATAAAGGACTAAGATGTAGATATTTAGGTACCAAAAGCATAATGTGGAACTAACCTTCCAGAGGACTAGGGGTGCAATTTGAAATTCTTCTCATCTGTCAGGTTGAAGATGTTAATTCTAGAAAGGGATTAGCCTGTCTCAACCAATAAAAAAAAAATTCCTTGCCCCTACAGAGCATTAACAGTGCATTAATGGTTGATTTGTTATGCCTGGCAAATTGTTTGCCATCCTCTTCTTCTACTTGACACAAAGCCCTGTAGAAAGTGAGCATGAGCACAGCAAGCATGTCCCTGTCTAATTAAGAGAAGGCTAAAAGAGCCAGGGGAGATTTCAGCAGGAAGCATGCTGGAACGAGCACACGGATACTCTTGCAGGCCCTCACTGCAGCAGGAGGCATTAAGATGGAATCTGATGCTTGTTTTGATAGCGCCTGCCCAGCTTCATCATCTAAGCTTCATTACTGTCTGCAAGAAAAAAGGAATTACTCTAGAGGTATGAAATAAGACTTTCATATCTGATTTCTGGATTACTACAAGCAGCAGTTCAAGGTCAAATGAATGAGCTATCCAGGTTGGTATCTTGTCCTGTACATACAAGATGCATAGGTAAGAATTCTGTATAGGGCTATGATCAGAACACCAAATCATGTAGGAACTTCTCTCATCTACATTTGAAGTGCTGATGAGGAGATAGAGCCCTTCCTTCCTGACCTCTCTGCAGAATCTACAGACGCCACAGTATATGCAGCCAACCCTACACCTTACCAAGCCTAACAATCAAAGCTATTAAAGGTTGAGCAACTGTGCCCTCTATAATCCACCCAAAGCAGAGACTTGCTGGAGGAGTGAATTCTACAGACTGACCATGTGCTGAAAATTGTGTGTAGTCTCACCCTGCAGCTCTGGAAATTACACCTTGTTTTCTATTACTTGCCCCACTTCGTCTGTTCTGCGATTGCTCTTTGAGAAAGGTCCTTATTTAGACAGGTACTTATTACTTCTCCTGCGACTCTAATGCCATACTATTAATTCACTCGGTTTGCCAACACCGACTGCCTTATCTCGCATCTTTTCTTTCTCCTTTTCACATCCTTTCCCCATACCACGCTAATTGGGCAAAGGATTCAAAGACGCCGTCTTAAATGTCTGCACTCACCTGTTGTCCTTGGATGACTCAAGTTTTGTATGCATCTCTAACCGTCTGCCTAATTACCTACCCGCACATGCACAGATGGGCCACAAGAGTTCAACCTCTGAGAGCTCTCTGCAAGCGCCTAGACTGGAAGAATTATCTTCCAGCACTCGAACAGGGCTGCACCCCCTGGGTGCACTTGGCAGGTGAAGCAACGGGGGCATCAGCCTCACCACTGGAAGAGGACTGTGAACCCTGCCTGTAATCAAATGAACTGAAATGGGTATAAATTGGAACGGGGAGTTAGACTCGTGTCTGCCAGCACTCGGGGAGCAGCTATTCCCATTTAGGCTTCTGATCAGTTAGAGCGAGATGGAAGTGCTGCCCAGGGGTTTTATCCTACCATGGGGAATAAGCACAGTTCAGCTTTGATATTTGTTTTCTGACAGACACTCTTCCTGAAGTGAAATAGCCCTAAATAGTGTAGAGGCTGAGGCTCTAATGAGCTATAGCACAGCAGGGTTTTACAGATAGCTGAAGAACGATAAGATCCAATCCCTGGTGTCAGGGAGATAAAGTGGTTTATCTGGGTTTCCACACAGGGAGGGAGTTAGCTGCTGGACCCAACCGAAAGATAGGGGGCTGGCGACCAAGGAGATTACAACAAGAGATATAGACTTGCTGGATTTTCTGTTTACAAAGCCAGATGGGCTAAGGCAGGACGCACCCCCCAGGAAAAAAAACAGTTATTCGACCCAATATGCAGAGCCACTAACCTGAAAGGGGGGAGGGAGAATCCAGCTGCTGGATCAGCTGCGGGAGGGGCAACTCAACCTTGTCCTCCTCTGGCCCCCACCTGCTCTTTCGTTTCTTTTTTGTGGTGCCCGTAGCAGCGGCCGTAGCTGGTGGTGCAGCAGTGGTTGTAGCCGTCTCGTTGGGCAGAGGTGAGGAGGAGGATGGTGAAGGTGAGGGCAACAGTGAAGGCATGGGCAAGGGCACGGGCAGCGGTGGGGGCACCGGCAAGGGCACCGGGGACGGCACCGGCAAGGGCACTGGCAGGGGCAGAGGGGAGGGCAATAGGGGAGGGCACGGGCAAGGGTAAGGGCAGAGGTAAAGGCAAAGGGGAGGGCACGGGCAAAGGCAGGGATGATATGGGAAGAGGTGACGGCGATGGCTCAGGACTGCTCTTCCTTTTCAGGCTGGACTCCGCAGGCACGGGGGCACTCGCAGTGCTGGTTTTGGCCTTACGGAACTCCTCCAGTTTCTGCCGGTAATACTTGTAGCCTTTGCTGTTTGGCTCATATAAAAACCTACAGGGGGGATAAAAAAAAAAAAAGGACATTTTGATGTCACGGTCATATCCAGGGGTTGGATGTAGCACAGTAAGGTCAGGGCTTTTCTTTCCTGCAGTGTTCTCGCACAGCTATAGCCTTCCCTGCACCCTGCCTTGCTCTCCAGCACCATCCTGTGTGTGCGTGCACGTACTGCAGGGTCCCACATGCTTTACAAGGTAGGCTGCAAGCCTTTGGGATCCAGAAGAGTACTTCCCATTCGTGAGCAAACCACAGCTATTTACGGTGCCAAATAAACACATGGTACTGGAAAGGATCTCGGTACGCTTGCGGAAACGCGAGGCCCTCCCCCAGAACACACTGGCCTTCCAGTACACGTCTGGAAAAACTGCAAGGGCACCACAACATCTTGGATCTCAGTTCACAGAAGAAAACAAACATTCAAGTCTTGCCAAGAAGAATGCCAAACCACTGCCTAAAGAAACTGCTCCCAGCCCTCTATTCAGGCTAGAGGTGTAGACATTAACAGCCTGCTTAATTATACCATGACTGCTCCTTCTGTTCCCTCATACACAGGGAAAAAAAACACACTGCTGTAGTTGCTACCCCTTCCAGAAATAGGCATCTCTGACCTTTTGGGTAAAATAAAACTCCTTAGTCTCTGTGGGAAGAACATGAACAATCTTCAGTCAAGCAGCGATGTAGAAAAAAATTCAATGCACTCATGTTTATTACAAATATATCTTTTTGGGCTCCCTTCAAATACTTCACCCAGAAACTTTGTCTATTCCTAACACCTCTGCAGCCTCCTCTTTTTGGAGAGGACCAGTTTAATACATGATAAAACCTTTCATCAGGACAATGCCTGCTCCTACATGTAGGAGACAACCAGCCTCTCTTATTTATCGCTGCACAACAGCTACAGGCAAACACAAGCAGAACTCTGACATTTGGAAATGCACTAAATTTGATCTTGTGTCCTTCCATTTGAATAACAGCATTAGGGACGGATTCAGGACCGAGCAGAGGGCAAGACAGGGCCCTCTGCATGGCAAATCTGATGAGATCTTAACAGAGGAGGTGGTTTTTAACTTGACTGTGCTCAGGTGGGATCGTGGTGGTGTTTTAAAGTAAATAATGGTGCAGCTCAGATATTAGCACATCTGTGGAATGTAATTCACAACACAAGGGGACTACCCGAGGGGGCCAGAAGGCAGCCAATAAAATGCCAAAATATCAGCAACAAAATAAAGCTTCCTGAGCCCCACTTCCCTCCATGAGAACACACCAAATTGTTTGTAAGAGCAGAAAAATGAAACAAGGATGACACCAAAGGGAGCCATTAAACAGCTGCCAGTAAGCCCTGAAGGGAACGATTCACATCTGATGTGGTAAAAACGATATTCCAAAGGGGGACCTGATGGTGAAGGACTACTGCCTGCGCCTTGGTGAGGATGCTGCGTAAAGAGCAACCCAGGAGATTAATTGGGCAACAGCAGTAGGAGTGGTGGATGGGCGAACACAACAGAACCCACTTCTAGGGAACGGTTTAAAGGTTAGAATTCTACCAGTTTGTTGCCAACAGCAAGCAGGCGGGGAGGGGTGCAAGTCGTAAATTAGTTGTGGAGAAGGCAAAATGATTCTTTTCTCTCTGCGCCTTGCTTTAAATTGTGAAACTTCAGACTGCAAAAGTACCAAACTGTGTTGTCCTTGTAACTTCAGACTCTAAAGGTTGTCTCTCATTTCCCCTTTGGAAAATAATAATTTAAAAAAAATCCAAGCATCACGCTCAGCAGCGGGCTTCTTCCCTTACCTGAAAGCATGGTTCTCGCGGTTGTTCTGCAAGGCAATAGCTTCCACCTCGGGACCCCCGTCTGCTATGAACCTGGCCAGTTTCTCAGCACAGTTCTTTGTCTCTTCGTCCTCTGGGGGTGAAACTTTAAGCAGGCTGTCAGTACTGGGCCCAACTCACACAAGCAACAGTCAAAGCCTATCTGTTCTAAGAACCCCAAGAGCAGAATAAGGGCAAAAGGTCGAGTTTAATTTTTAAGAAATATTAAACATAAACAGAGTTTATATCACAAAAACACGAGAGTGCATTACGGTTGTACAATAAATCTGTAACCAGAGGAGTGCTCATTCACCCATCACTGTCCTCTGTGCCAGGAGCTAGATGAGAGCAGATTAACAGACAAACCAGCTTTTGTCTCCAAAGATGGACACTCTTTTCTCTCTACTGCAGAGGAAGTCTGTTTCTTCCTCGTGTCACGTACTTTTTCATGCTATTACACCTCACAATTATTTCTCATTAAAGACTTTGCCACTGAAGTCTACGGGAGCAAATGGGAAGAGAAAGTGGCAAACTAATAACAGAAGTAATCCCATTTGTACCGACTGTCACTACACATCTGCTGGCTGTTTTAGGGGAGGGCTGTAGGACAGAGCTTTGGGACTTTTTCTCCATGAAAAAGTCCCAATCCTCACCTGGAAGAGGTGACCACTGCAGCCTTAGTCCAAAGGCACAGAGAAGGCTCAGCTCATTAATATTTCAAGCATATTTGATGTTTATAAGGAGCCAGGCAAATATGTTATTTAGCCTTGACAGCCTTATATGACATTTGCTACCTGCACAGTACCAGTGCCAGTACTCCAGCGTGCTGGCACAGGACCAGGAGGCAGAAGACATGATTATAAGCCACGGACAAGTCATAACTTTTCCTTGCTTCAATATTCCACACCTGTAAAGTATGGATAATACTGCTTAGCTTCTAAACTGTGGTATCAGCCAGTTGATATCGATAACAAGCTCCTTCAGCCTACAGTCGATTAAGCCAAGATTTGTTTGAGCTGTTAACTCATCAGCATGACAGCTAAATTGCATCAATGCTGCCTTCCACAGGAAGGGAAGCTGACACAGAGAAGCCGAGTGATTTGCCCGGGCCACATGGCAAGCCTCAAACAGAGGCTGGACTGTAGGCAATAAGTGCTCAGCCCGCAGACCACGCTTCACCCACAACAATTTTTGTCTCCTAACAGAGTTAACCTGGTTCCACTGCTCACTGTCTGTGGGCAGATCACCCACATCTGCTGATTTCCCACCTGGAATCACAGTCCCTCGTTTAAGGGTTTATGTCTCAAGCAAAACATAAAAGCTTCAGATAGGGAAATGGCAGCAGAAATGAGGATTATGTTCAAAGAAACCTTTTCATTGATAACAAGTCAAACAACATACAAGAATAAGCACTTTTCCCTCGCTGCATTTTTAGGACTGAAGGACTTTCCAGATCACGCATAATGGTGAATCATTTTAGCTCGCTTTAAGGATTTTGGAGAAATACAATGCAAATCTCTTTCAAGAGCCTTTCACACAGAACGTGGTATAGAATGCTGTGGGCTTGGGGAAAAGAAAAACATCTTGGCAACAGTTTGCTGCCATAGGTCACCATCTCCTTCAATTCTGAAATTTTATTTACAGGCAGCCAGCCAGCCAAAAATCCATTCCCACTGTTTTCAGGGCAGAGCTTACACGCAATTACAGAGAGAGCAAATAAAACAAACATAACTTCTGTAATTCATAGAGTATTCTCCAGATCACAGTCTTAATTACCTTTCTGAGAAGAGGATGCCTGAGAACTTTGATTCTCTTTTCTTATCTCTGCCACTTTCTTTCTGTAGTAAAGGAATTCTCTGCTGTTCTTATCATGTAAAAACCTAAGGTGGAGATGAAGGAAAAACAGCAAAAAAAAACCATGCATCAGCAATGACTGTAAAAAAACAACACTGATACCCCAGGGATGCAAACACCTCAGAACTAGAGAGAACAAAACAAATTTCTCAGAACACGCTTAAACTGTGGGTTACAAAGTCTTTAGCACGTATAAATACACATAGCTCTAATCTAAGGACTTCTACCCAAATGTTTTGTTACTTTGCAAAGAAAAATAAATAAGTCTCTCCTTTTCGTGTAAGAGGAAACCCTCTGTCCTCAGCCACACAGCGTATTGATGGCAGAGGATACAGGGTCAGTCGCAAGAAGCAGACCTGTGTCCCCACACTAGGTGCTGTGCAGGCAGCCAGATCTCCCTGGCTATATCCTAATTATCTGATCGCGTCCGCAGCACCACCACAGCATGGCTTTTTGCCTCAGTTTCCCCATCTATAAACCAAAAGCAATTACTTGGAACAGCGCTCAGATCCACCTAACGATAATTAAACCAGAAAGACTAATGAGAGCTACGTGCATAAGGCTGATGTTCTTCCTCCTACAAAGCGACAGCGTTCTGCTTTGGCAGGCAGGTTAGCACCACACTTACGAAAAAGCTGGGTTATCCTTGTAGTCTTCCATAGCGACCTTCTCTAACTCTGGTCCCCCTTCAGCCACGAACCTAGCCAGCTTTTCCACCACTTGGCGGGTCTCCGCATCCTCTGGGGGTAAAACTTTAAGCAGGCTGTCAGTACTGGGGTTCAACTCACACACCAAACAGGCAACAGGTACATTACTTCTAAGAACCATGGCGACAGACAAAAGTAGAACGGGAACGGGAAGAAAAAGGATGAAATGGGGGATCCAGTCTTACACAGCTGTACAAACCACAATCTTTAGGTTACAGTCAGCCTCTCCCTCCCCTGCTAGCAAGCTAATATTCTGACTAAATCCTTCCTACAAGGAAAAGCCTAAAAACTGGCTCACCAGAGGTTAAGGAGCAACTTCAATTGTGGCGTAATTTGCTTCTGACAATTCTACTCCACACAATACACACGGTGGGAAGGAATGGGATTTTTTAGACACAAAACCCCAACCGCATTACTAAAGATTACAAATTCCAGTTCCCCAAGACATCGCTCTGTACCAAGACAGCAGAGACAGCTTGTGTAGCTGGAGCATGTAGCTCTTCCTACTGGCACATGCCCATGTCTCAACCCTCACTTGGAGGGAATCCCGTTGAAGATGAGAGCTCAGTCTCCAAGAAACTGTATTTTGGCTTCTGCGCCAAGAAAGGAACCCACTAGCACTGACAGTTATTGCAGAGCCGACGTGGGACACATTTGATGGAAACCAAACACAGACACTCGTCTAGACAACAATATTTTGGGTAGGCCACTGAACACAGAGCACACAGGAGCAGAGGTTTCTGCGCTGCTCTAGATTACTTGGAAGCCAGGGTCCGTGTTCTGCCTTCACCCTCTGCAGCCAGCAGCTATTTGTCGTGTTCCTGCAGTGTGTTTTATGCTTGGGCTCAGACTCACTAAGATTACACTCATAAATCCCACCAGCAATAGCTAGACATGAGACGTAAACATGTAATGAAAGGAATCGTGACACAAAGCTCAGTGTGACTTATTAATCAAGTATAAAATTAGATTGGAGTTGCTAAATAAGTCTGCGTGAAATCCAGATTATTAACCAAATCTGCCTTCTGGCTTCCTAGCCTAGGTTATTCACAGGCACTCAGTTATTTAAGTGCTGCAATGTTCAGCATTGATTTTATATCCTGCTTAAGATTCGAGACTTTTGAGGTGAGATTTTCCAGTGAGGCTTTGGAAAAGAGGCAGGAACTTTGATTTTAATCAATTGAACTATTGTGCCTTTCATTTAGTATATGTATGAGTATTTAGTATAGGCAGTTTTATTCATTTATACACGCATTTTCCCCTTACACAACCACTCCTAAACTCAGGACTTTTCATCTCAAATCGTTAAAAAAACTAAAATTTCATATTAAACACAAATGTTTCATTTATATCTTTTTCAAGGTAACTCAGCACTAGCCATTGATGAATTGAACTGTATAAAAGCAGAATTCTTACAATCAGCAAATTACCAAGCTCCATTAACAGCAGAATATGTTCTCTCACCTGATTTTCAAGGAAGGTTACCCACTGTTTGACTTGATAACTCAGAGAAAACGATCTCCCTAGGCACAAACCAGACCTGATCTAACTAGGATGAGTGGCCCAACTCCCACACTGAGCTCGGGTTGGATAAAAAAAAGGAAAAACCCAACCCTCTAACACTCAACTCACATCACTGAGATAAGTGAACCCGCACCCCGAAATGAACAACGTAACACAAGCTGTTATTTACCTTTAATTTCCAACCACTGCTCGTAATCTTCCTCCTCATCTTCATCTGGCGACTGAAACACACTGAGGCGGTTAACGACTGGGGTCTGTTTGGAATGGGAGTAGTTCTTCGCTTGCTGCAGCATGCTGCTCAGGACCTGCCCGGGGCGCTTCCCAAACAGCATAGGTTTCTTCCCAACATTTGGTGCGGAAGCGTTTGACGAGTTATTAGTAGAACTTGGGGGAGGTTCTTAGAAAAGAATGAGGGGGGAAAATAATTCCTGGGCATTCTGACTGTTTTCATCGCAGCAGGTTACAAACAACAACTCAAGCAGTGATACAGCTGCAACAGGCTGTTATTTTCAGAGTAAATTACAGACATTGACTGGGAAAAGCTGCATAACTAAGTGAAAGCTACAATAGTTGCAACAAAGATTCAAGCTAGAAGAAAGATGCTCATCTTTACAGCACCTATAGGTTGAGAGAAATACAAACGTCCCTACCACATCCTGAAGAAAGGCTTAAATCCAAATTTAAAGGGGTCGTTGCTTTAGAACTTACTCATGCTGGTAACAGCTCACAGCAGGGTTTTTAAAGTAAACATACATGGAGGCAGCTCACACAAAGCTGGGATCATCACGAGAAGGAAGGCCTGCTGCTCAGAAGTCGACCTACCAGCACTCGACTTTTCCTTCTGCAGCTTGAGAAACTGCTGGAGGAAACTGCCATCGTTAACAAACTTGTTGGAAACAGAGGCTTCACCGTCAGTACCGTCATCTCTAAATAGGAAAAGAAAAGCAGGTGATGGTACACCCCAGCCCCCTCATACACATTTATTTCAGACAGAAAATAAGATAAGTGCCAGCAATCACTAATCTCGCTTATTTTGAAAGCACACCTAGCTTTTTAAAAGCACACGAGGTGCTCAGCTTGCTGCTCGCAGCCCCTGCTTCCCACCTGGCTCTCTCGCTACCACACTAGAACAAGATTTCTGCTTGCAGAGTTCTGCTGCTGGGCTCCCAGGAAACCCAGGGAGGCATTTAACCCTGGATTGTGCTAACTCTTAGGGAGTTACAATTGCAAAAAAAGTAGCAATTGAGAAGCAGAGGGAAAACATAATAGCACTAGGTTAAAAATGCTTGTTGTAAGGGCTGGTCTGTTAGTATCAGCACCTGAAAAAGTTGAAGGGGTTTTGTTAGACTGAAAGCCTGGTGTTTAACCCTTCAATTACCAGCAACCCCACGTTTAACCCTTCAATTACCAGCTTCAGCCTCCTCAGTGCTTGGCTCCCCGCACAAGACCTTTGCAGAACCACCCCCCCCCCTTTTATCCGACACACATTTTGTGCCACCCCCGGCCCCCCCGCTCCCCTCACGCACTCCCCGAAGAGGGGCAGCTGCCGGATGCGCAGGGAGTTCTGCCTCTCCTGCTGCTCCAGGCGGGCCTCGATCTCCCTCTTCTTCTGCGCTATCAGCTCCTCCTGCTGCAGGATGTTCGCCGTCGTCTTGGCCGATTTGGACTGCGAGACGCCGAACCAGCGGCTGGCCTTCCCTGGGCGGGGGGGGGGGGGGGTGGAAAAAAGAGAAGAAAACGGGGCAATTAGCGCTGGGGGCGGCATAATTAACACCCGAAGGGGCCGGGCGGGGCCTTGAGGGCAAACCCCGGGGCTGAAGCGCTCCGGGGCTCGGCTCCCTCAGGGGTAGAGCGGGGCGAGGCCCCCCTGAGGCCGGGGGGGAGCCCTGAGGAGCGGCGCGGGCCCTACCCGGCGCCTCACGGGGGTTGTCCATTTTGGAGCTGCCGGCCCACCATGCACCGCGGCCGGCAGCCGAGCGCCTCCGCCGCCGCCGCTAAGACTGATGGGAGTTGTAGTCCGGGTGAGGCTCCCTCCTCCCTCCCCGCCTCTCCCCATAGCAACGCGCGGCGGACTCCAAATCCCAGGATGCCCCGCGCGCGCCGCCCCTTCCCCCTTCCTTTCCCCCCCCCCCCTCCGCCCCCCCCCCTCCCTCCCTCCCTCAGGCCGTGTTGTCGCGGCGGCCCTGAGATGGCGGCGGTGGCGGCGGGCGCGGCGGCCGGGGCGGCCCCTCAACAGCAGCCGCCTCCTCCTCAACAACAGCCGCAGCCGACGGCGGGAGGGCCCGGAGGCTCCGGGGAAGCAGCAGGAGGAGGAGGAGGAGGAGGAGGAGGCGGTGGGGGGGGAGCTGGCGGTGGAGGAGGAGGAGGAGGTGGAGGAGGAGGAGGTGGGGGGGGGGGGTGCAGGGCCCGGCCCGGGGCCTGGAGCGGGAGGTGGAGGAGCAGGGCCCGGTGGTGGGGCCGGGGGGGAGTCGTGGTACCTGGCGTTGTTGGGCCTGGCCGAGCACTTCCGCACGTCCAGCCCGCCCAAGGTGCGGCTCTGCGTGCACTGCCTGCAGGCCGTGCTGCCCCGCAAGCCCCCGGCCCGCATGGAGGCCCGCACCCACCTGCAGCTCGGCTCCGTCCTCTACCACCACACCCGCAACGGCGACCAGGCCCGGGGGCACCTGGAGAAAGCGGTGAGCCCCTCGGGAAAGGGGGTTTCTAGGGTTGGAGGGGGGTTGGGGTCTTGTCAGTCATGCTCGAGGACTAACCCGCTGTCTTTTCTTGCAGTGGTTGATATCGCAGCAAGTATCCTTTTCCCGGCTGGCAACCAGAGGTGTTGGGAGAGAGCCCCGCGGACAGAGCCTTGGCCCTAGGGATGGGGATTTTTAGCTGCTTGTAATCTGCTGCTGGGCTCGCGGGCCGCTTTCTTTGCCGCTTCTGGTGTGTTGAGGAGTTTTGGACGCTGTAGCGTTGCTGTTTTGCAGCCGGTGTTTTAATGTTCGCTTAACTCTGGTGCTGCTAGATCCCACAGTTCGAGGACGTTAAATTCGAGGCAGCCAGCCTGCTGTCAGAGCTCTATTGTCAGGAGGTGAGTGCGCTGGGACAGGGTCACTCCTGGATCGTTCTGGGGCTGCAGGGCTGCGTTTAACTTCAGTGTCTTTGTTCCTGGAATACCACATAACTATTAATAAAGGGTTTTATAATGTTTTTAGAGGCCATTTGCAGTATAAATACAAAGTACTATAGCATAAACCTGAAACATTTTGTCTGTCTGATGTAAAAGTTGGTGTTGGAATTGTAACATGGGGCTTCTACGGCAAAAGAGGTTTGCTCGGCCAAATTTTTTTCTTTTTGAGACAAAAACAGGGTGGAGGGGTGGAAATAGAAGGCTTTTTTAAGGCTTCTGTTGAATTTATAGGCCCATTTTATTCTTTATCTGTGGAAAAGCCTTAACTGGTCTTTACCTTCTGTGAAGGAAATGTTTGCCTTTTCTTTCATGTGCAGGAAAAAAAAAAGGCACATTGGAATAGCAGCCAAAGGAGTTAAATGGCTAATACTTTTGAACAGACTTTGAGTCAATTATTGTGTGATTCTGAACGCTAAAAACTTGGTTTTGTTGCTTTTCATGTTTTCAGGTTCCTAACCAGCCCGACTTTAATTAGGGATCAACACAGAATACGTCTTGTTTTGAAGTTACTGTTCCTGGTGATGGAAATTCCCAGTAGCCTGGTCTCTGGTTGACTCGGGTGTGTGTTTCTGTTTCAGAATTCGGTGGACACAGCAAAACCTCTGTTACGCAAGGCCATCCAGATCTCACAGCAGACCCCATACTGGCACTGTAGGCTGCTTTTCCAACTTGCAGTAAGTGATTTTCTGTTGCTAATCACGTTACTCTGGCACTGTGGCTGGTAAAACGGCTAGGAAATGTATGTATTGTTCCTTAAAAGGTCTCAGACACCTCTTTATTTATTTATTAACCGTGTTAGTGGAGGGACAGAATTTATGCTATGAAGCAGCGATGTGTTTGGAGAGTACTGACTGGATCAAGGCCCACTTTACCTGTTGATGATGTGACAGATGGGAGAAGAAAACTGGAAGGACCATCCTGTGGGCTCTATCTAATAGCACAAAACTTTAGAGAGGGAATGAGATAAAACAACACGGCTTGTAGTGAGGGTAAAGGTTCTCATGAAGCTATTGGAATTGGAGCTTGCCAGCCTGAAGTGTTGGTTTGATTATTTTCAGCCTAATCTAGAGCAGAATTGGGGTGGGAAAAGCAGGTGGTACAAAGGTCTCCCAGCGATGTTCCTCTTCTGAACTACACTCTAAGCGTGGCACAGTGGCACAGCTCAGACCATTGTTGCTTCTAGGAAAAACTGGCCCATTTTGGAGTTCAAAGCATTGTTTGCAGTGATCTTTATTTTAGCTGTGTAACTACCCTTTAAAATGCTGCTTCCCCTGAGCGTTTAGATGTGTTAGGACAGGACGCTTATCCAGAAAGTTTCCCCTTTGGTGGGAGGAGCTGATTATTGCTGGAGATTTATTTTTTTTTCCCAGGTTATGCTTTTTCTCAGCTCCTAACCAGCCTCCGGGTGTTTAACACTAGACTTGAGGGAGCTGATTGCTCTTTTACGGGTACTCTGTAGCAGAGATCTGGTTAGCAGGCAATTTTATCTTTGAAGACTGCCTTAATAGTCACCTGTACTTGTCTTTTACCCCTTCCTGATGAGTTTAAACAAGCAGACCAATTTCTCTGAAAAGGAATTGCGAGCTCCTTTGTGTAGTTTAGGAGTGCTGAATTGTGCAGAGCCTTACTTTCCTATCGATTAAAGGACAAACGTTTACTTTGCAACGAGTTAATGCCCGAGTACTCACAAGAAGCTTAAGCATTTTTCTCAGTGCCTATGCTGAATAGGATCCTTCCTCGAAGCTTGACATTCTGTGCTGATTTCTTTTCTGCCTGGTATTTCCTTTCCATCATTTGCTTGACCAAAGGGGGCTGTGCGTCTCATTACCTTGGTGTGTGTTTTTCTACAGTTGTCTGGCTTTGCTACCTGAGCCTGGAAAATGTACAAGAACTGGGAGGCTGGAGGGGAGGGAGAGGTGCTCTGGAGGCTCTGCCATCCTTTTCCCATCACCTGCAACACACCTCGCAGACTTCCTCTGCTCCTCATGCTGCAGAACACGCTCTGTTGTGTAACTGTGCAAGTTATCCTTGAGCTTTTCCTGTCTGATCTGCACAAGCTCTCGATAAATTATAACAGCTTTGTATTGTGTGAAACCCGGCTGAGAAATTTTCTTTGAAATGTTACAGGCTTTTTCTGGAGAATGTGAGGTGTTCCTGGAAAACGAATCTAAAATCAGATGATATATTTAATGTGCCAGTTTAGCAGTTGTCACTTGTAAAGCACAGAAGTGCTTTATTTGCAATTATATTTGGAAAAAAAAAACAGCTCATCAGGCTCTCTAAGAAAATGCTGACCATTTTTTGTCCTTTTTTTTCGTTTCAGCAACTACATACTCTTGAAAAAGACTTGGTATCTGCATGTGACCTTCTCGGTGTTGGAGCAGAATATGCTCGGGTGGTAGGATCAGAGTATACCAGGTGAGTTCCATTGATGTTGTTGTTGTTTTTTTTTGTTTTTTTTTTTTTTTCCCACCAAAAAAATGGTTTGTTCTGCTTTTGTTTAGTGGTGTTGTCTGTGATTGCTACATGGGTTTTGCAGACAGTATTTTTGAGTGTTCTCTTAGATCTGAGAGTTTCTCCAGCTCTTTAACTTTTTGGAAAACCAAACACAACCAATTAAGGTCTATTAAGACTCTGCAGTGTGTTTTGTTTTTTTTTTTTTCAAACTGAACTGTGTTTATTGTCTTGATCAGCAAAAGGTTTCCCAGTAGCTTGGCTTTGGCCTTAGCAACTATTGTAACTGGAACTGTCCAAGTCTTAGAGAAAAACCTGAAGAGGCTGGGATTTTGATTCCTGGTGCTATTCCATCTAGCTTTCAAATATGCTTTCTGTGGCAGGTTCTTTAATACTGCTTTAACTATGGCCCTTGAGAGGAGGGAGAGTGGCAGACTTTCTCTTTCCCCCCAAGGTTTTTATTTACAGTCGTGGTCTGGGTAACTTGTTTTTAGGTTTGATTTTTTTTATTATTTTTTGGATTATGACATTGTTTTGTTTAATTTCAGAGCACTGTTTCTGCTAAGCAAGGGAATGGTAAGTTGGATGTACTTTCAAAATAAACTACTTGTTCAAGTACTGTAATATAAGTTAGAGTGTAACCTGCCTGAACATAGGCTGTTGGTTTTTAAAGAGCAGATAAACATGCAGAATACCTTATATATTCTGTTTTGTTCAACGAGCAAGTGCAGAATTAAAATATTCCTGAAAAAAAGTCTTTAAGTTGGCAGGTTTCTTTTGAAATTCTTATGGTTAGTTTCCCCCACTGCCCTTTATAAACATGACAAATAGATGGGTTATGGAAGGAAAAAAGAATAAGTGCAAATTGTTGGAGGCCTTGTGATTATGGATGAAAATCTTATCTTGAAATGGTTGGTGTTCTTGCAAATAGATGTCTTTGCATTATATTTTTTTTTAAATAGACTCATCAATGTACCTGGGGCTTAACTGCGGTTCTCTTAAATGTTTAAATTGTTCAGCACAAAAGTTATTTTTATTTTAAATTACAGCTCCTTCTAATGGAACGGAAGCTGCAGGAGGTGCACCCTCTCCTTACCCTGTGTGGACAGATAGTTGAAAATTGGCAAGGAAACCCCATCCAGAAAGAGTCGTTACGCGTGTTCTTCTTAGTCCTGCAGGTCACGCATTACCTGGATGCTGGGCAGGTGCGTGCAGAGGGGGAGGATTGGGCAGAGATGACCTCAGAAGCAGCGATACTTCTGATTCTGGGGGATTTTTGCTGCTACGCCTGAGTGGTGAAACGACATCCTTTCCTTCTTACCTGAGGAAAGGCTTACTTTGGTATGCTTGTAACCACAGTGGCCACTGTTCCTTCTCTGTGACATTAGTGGGGATAACAGGCTTTGTGTACTGTTTTGAAAGACGTTTTGAGCATCTGATTGTTGTTAATGCTGGAACTCACTGTTTTGTCATGCTAGCGTAGTGATTTATGCAATAGCTCTGCTCACAAATGTGGAGGTTATTTATTGCCTGGCAAGTTTTCTCCACTGAGTAAATGTTCGTGCATCTGGGCTGCAGCAGCTCTGTCTGAAGTGAATCATCTTTTGCAGGTGAAAAGTGTGAAACCATGTCTGAAACAGCTCCAGCAGTGCATTCAGACCATATCCACGCTGCACGATGATGAAATTCTGCCCAGCAACTCTGCTGATCTCTTCCACTGGCTACCCAAGGAACACATGTGTGTGCTTGTCTACTTGGTGAGCAGCTCTTTTTTACTTAATGTATTGCTAATTAATGGGAAATTGGTTTAAAATGGCCTAGAGCCAGCAGTGATAGATTCTGCAGACCATATGCTGCTTTACATAACACTGACAGTTTAATTCTGCCACAGCATCTGTGAGAATATTGCTTTCAGAGATGTCAGGGTTTGAAGAGACTGTGCAAGAAGTCTGGAAGCTGGAATATAACTTTATTAATATCCAAGCCAAATAACTCTACTTCGTACAAGTTGATTGGATTCTTGACTTCACATTCCTGAAACTAATTACCTCACTTCTTGAATTTGAATTTATTCCTAATTGGTGTCAAAATTCAGTTTAAAAAGACTGGTAGCAGAGGAGTTGTGTGAATGCCCAGACTTTTCCTCACTGCTAAGAAAACTTTTTGTAATCTTTCCCATGCTCTCCGGCAGGTGACAGTGATGCATTCCATGCAAGCAGGGTACCTGGAGAAGGCTCAGAAGTACACAGACAAAGCACTAATGCAGCTAGAGAAGCTAAAAAGTAAGGATGAGGGTTATAATTTAGCTGATGTCTAAGATTCCTTTATTTGTTACTAATTTAAATTTTAGAAAAGAAAGATTGGGAAGCCTATTTAGCTCACTAGGACAGCCAGCTATCAGTCTGTACTGCATTTAAGAATTTTGTTGTTTTATACCTTTACTTATTTATTTTGATTTTTGAATTACTTTGACTGTTGAATACAAAAATAGAATTTTGGGGAGGTTTATTCTTGTAAATTGAGCTGTAAACCATGTGCAGTTTTCTTGGTGCATTTCTCAGTGTACCCATCTTTGGTTATCCAATTTTTTTTCTTCTCTAAACCAAGTACGTTTTCCTGATGGCTTTTTCCTCAGCTGGTGTTCAGACTCCCATTCCTGACAGTTCAGGAATTGATTTGTTGGTGGTGGTGGTGGTTTGGTTTGGTTAAACCTGTGCCATCCTTGCAATGGCATGTGGAAGACAAGATGGGTGGTACGCTGACTCTTCTGACCCTAGAGGGTCCAGCCAAAGACGTTGCTCTAGATTTGCACAAACGAGTCTTTGTGCTGAAGTCCTGCTGAGCCACCTGCGATTCGAGAGGCTGGCTAGGTGCAGTAGAGGCTGTGTGGTGGGGATGTTCCTATTGTCTTGACTTCACTTACTGAATTACCTCTGTTCCCTCTTCAGTGTTGGACTGCAGTCCTATCTTGTCGTCCTTCCAAGTTATTTTGTTGGAACACATTATTATGTGTCGGCTTGTCACAGGACACAAAGCCACAGCGTTGCAGGAGGTAAGAATGGGGTTTGACCGTTTTCCTGGTTGTGGTGTGTGCAGGTGATTATTTAAAAATTCTAGTTCTGAGAAGATTCTTGGGTTTAGATGGAGATTTCAACAGTGCTGAACTACTAACAGGTATGGTCTGGCCTGATAGTGCCATGGAATTAGCCTCCTCGTAAATTATATGGTTTAAGAACACTTTGGAGTTGCTCGTGGAGTCAACAGGAATTGACGAGTGGCTAAAACGGGCACCTTCTTCCTGACTGTGGTTGGCAATCTGACCCTGGTGTCTTTTCCCTTTCCCTCAGGTTCTTCACTGAGAGTGGCTCTGAACTCTTCCCCTTTTATTTCCTCTTAGTGTTCCTGTCTTGTCCAAGTGTTTCTCTGCTTTTAAGGGTCCCTGACTTTCTGTCCTTTCTTCCTCTTGGAGAGTTTGGGGGAAGGAAGGAGGGGTTCGGTGTTCTCTAATGTTGAGAACAAATTGCATGCTTTTTTTCCCATTCTCCCAGGCATTTTTAATTCCTGTTTGTCCACCCCTTATTTATAGGATATATGGCTGCATCATCTCAACCTCTTTTGTCAGTCTTCACATGAATGTACTCTGGGGGGTAATTAGACAGTTAAAGGAGTAGTCATTGGTTCTGGCTCATAAAGCTCATCACTAGCACATAGCCTTCAGAAGATTTGGATTCTGGTTTTTCTGTTTCGTGCCAGCTCAGATTCTGAGCGTTTCAGAACAGATCTGCTACTTCGTTTGCAGGTGGTGCCACCATATGGTAGAGCTGCTGCAAAGCAAATAATTCAAAACCAGTTCTAGTGTGCGTCTGTGTGGGAGGAACGTGCATGGAGCAGTGTGTGTTCGTCAGCTTGAAGCATGTCTAGCCTCTGCTTTTACCTAAGAGTGTGACTAATGATTCTGGAACCGATCTCTGAAGCATATTGAGTGACATGTATGATGCAGTCAGATGGATACAGGGCAGAAATCAAAATGGAGAGAAGAAATCTTAAAGACCTATTATTCTTTTCCAACAGATTTCCCAAGTCTGTCAGCTCTGCCAGCAGTCCCCCAGATTGTTCTCTAATCACGCTGCCCAGCTGCACACTCTATTAGTAAGTGTCTACGATTAGTAGTAAACTCTTTGTAGGGCTGTACCCAAGACTCACTGAACAGTCACCAGTAACTGACGAGGTCACAGTGATGCAGACAGCAAAATTTCCTGCTGAGCAGTAGGGTCTGCTGTATTGATTGCCTGTCCTGCTGTGGGGGCTCACTGCCAGCATTGCTGTCAAAGTCCTAAATCCCCTTTAGAATAGGTGACCCGTGGCATGATAATTAGTACACAGCATAAACACACACGATTTATACTGTGTGTGTTTGAGACAGTGCATTGGGGTACTGGGTAAGGGGAAGAATTAAGCATTACTGTTTGAGTATTACAAGAAATTAAGAGTTTGGGGTTTTTTATACAGCAATGGGGCTTTTTTTTTATTACAGGATTATACTGTTTGGAAGCAGTTTGTATAGAAATTTATGTTTTTTCTCAGAACCAAGCAAAACTAAGATTTATTGGTTAACTCTTTTTACTGCTAATATCCTGATTTCTGTGGTTTTGTGCTTGCCTTCCTTCTTAGCATTCCAAGCTTGTTATAACTGTGTTATATATTATCTTAGAAATGTCATGTCTTCTACAGGGGCTCTACTGCATTTCCGTTAACTGCATGGACAATGCAGAAGCACAGTTTACGACAGCACTGAGGGTAAGGTTTTCTTCTCAAAATATTTACTGCGGTGGTTCAGTGTGGAGTTGGGCTTGTTGCAGTTGTGTGGGTCACTGAGTTGAGGTTGGAAGAGAAATCTGGACACTGTGTTAGTTGCATGAGTTCAGGTTTTTCTTTGCTGGACACAGCTCAGGGTCAGGATTCGTTAATAGCCAAATATTAAATCTGATTTATTTATTTTTTTGTCTCTGTGTATATATTAAAGGAGAAGATGGGGTGAATTCTGGGTTGGATGCTGGAGGATTTTGACTGTACTAATGGTGTGTTGTTCATTTCAGCTCACTACACACCAAGAGTTGTGGGCATTTATTGTGACAAACTTAGCCAGTGTGTACATCAGGGAAGGCAACCGGCAACAAGAGGTAAGCTGCTTGCTGGGTTCTGGCTGTAGTTTTAAAAGTCAGAACATTCTTGGAGAGAGGAGATATTACTACTGTGCTTGGGTTATTCTTTTTCTGGGCATTTTTGCAGAATAGTGCCTTGTCTGGCAGTCAGGCAACTCCATAATCAGGTTAGTGTCAAGTAGTAGTAGGGAGCTGGTGGTATCAGCTGGCATAGCTGCAAACCACCAAAGCTGCATGTTCTGGATCGTACATGGAATTCTCTACAGCACTGGGAAGGAAAGCTTCCAGTTCCCAATGCAGAGTGTGTGGTTAAAGCTGTCATCTTGACTCATTCAACCTCTTTGCTTTGGTTTCCATCTTAAGGGTTTTATTAGATTACATAAAACCAAGTAAGATTTAGCTAAACATTTAGCCAGAAATAGGTATATGCATCGTGTGTGTTCCTTTTTTTTCAGCAGTGTGCCAGAAGCAATATTAATACAAAAATACAGCTGCCTGCAGTCTTCCAGGGATGTTTGATCCCTCTGTAGTGGTTTTCTGGAGACGTGTTTGCAAGTCTCTTGTGAAGAAGCTATAAATGAACTTCTTCATCAAGCTCGTAGCACTTACTATTATTTTTGCCTCCTAAGCTTTTTAACGAAGCTTTTTCGTTTGTTTTTTCCTTAGTTGATTTCTGGTTTTGATTAAATGACTACTTTGTTACAATATTTGTTTCTTGAGCGGCTCAGTTAAATGACTACTAAAAATTTTCATTACTATTTTATAGCAACTTCTGTGAAGTTTAAGAAAGTATATATTGCATAAAACTATTTTGGGGCCAAAATGGACATGATAACCCGTAGCGTTGGAATGTTTGTGCTATGATTTAACCAATACAAAGTAAACTTCAGTGCATTTGTAGTGACTTGGACCATTTTGATTTGATATGCATTTCTCATAAAGAACACTTGCTGTCGATACCAGAAGCCTGTGTATGTCAGAAGCACTGATTATCTTTCTTTCCCCTCTCATTTTGTAGCTTTACAGCTTATTGGAAAGGATAAATCCAGACCATAATTTTCCTGTGAGGTGAGAGTTCCAGAAACTATTTGCATGCTGATGTCGCATTGGTGATGGCAATACTGGATTTGTCTCAGGCTTTTTTTACAAAGAAAACAAAACAATCAACTTCTTTTCAAGGCAGAAATTCTGACCAGGCATTAAAAGTAATGTTCTGTGTGGAGCTTTGATCATTAGGCAAATTCCTAGAAACCTGTCTGTAATGCATTTAATCACTGTACCATGCCTGGATTTCAACGTGTTGCTTTGTTCGTAGCTCTCACTGTCTTCGAGCAGCAGCTTTCTACATCCGAGGTCTGTTCTCCTTCTTTCAAGGACGATACAATGAGGCAAAGTGAGTATGACTCGGTGCACTCGGGAGGTGGGGAAAAAAGGAGAAACTAAATCAAGCTTTTAAAATAAAAAGGAAAACCCAGAGGCCTTGCTTTCAAACCTCCTGGATCTCCCTGTGGATTTAGTCAACCTCCTGTTTCACTTAGGGCAAATACCACAAAACTGTTTGTTTTAGATCTCTTTGCTTCCGAATAGTAATAATAATACCGGTGCGGTGTTCTGCAGTGGCACATCTGAAACAAAAGCTTTTCAGAGGAGGATCTGTATTGTAGTCATTTTTGTTAAATGAAAGGTGAGGTTTGGGAATGAAGTGCTTTGTTTAAGGTCACCTGCAGCACACATTTATTCCTGAGCACTAATATTTGCCGACTGGATTAACTTGGTTCTTGATGATGCTTCTTACGCATTGGAGGGAAAGTCGAGTTTTTAAAACACTTTATTTCTTCTTCTGTTTTGGTAGACGATTTTTGCGAGAGACACTGAAAATGTCAAACGCAGAAGATTTGAATCGATTAACAGCGTGTTCTCTAGTACTCCTGGGTCATATATTCTATGTGTTAGGGAATCACAGGGTAAGCAAGCCTTCACTGTGTCTGGTATTACTATGTAAGTGTTTGACTTGTGATTTGCCAAAGAAAATCAGGACTCTTCCTGAAATTAATCTTGTTTCAAGAACGCTTGTGTATTGGTATCCCACGGAAAGCTGGCAGCTTATTGACTTACATAATTCTGCAGCTGCAATTTGCACATTTAATAACACTTTTAAACAAAGTAGTACTGTTTGGAGTCTATTGTAGAAGTGTGTGTTTCTATAATGCCTGAAATCACTCGAAAAAAAGGAGCAGAATAAAAGACAAATAACATCATTCAACTGGATTGTTTGGAAGGAATTGTGGGTACAAGCTCTTCTGAATTCTCATCATATGCCAGAACGCATGAAATATTTCTATTATCTTGCACAACATCAAGGCCATAATTCCTAGGACAGAGCAAAATTCCAGACAGATTTAGATGACGTATTTGGGTTATTGTCCCATTAAGTGTTTCAACTAGTTTGCTGGAACATAGCATGCAGTTAAATTAGGTAAATTTTCTGTCACAAATTGCACATCTCCTATGTATTATATATTTGTGAGGGGGGAAAAAAAAATACATGTTTTATGTTGATATCTGCTCTTCACCAGGAAAGTAATAATATGGTAGTGCCAGCCATGCAGCTTGCAAGCAAGATACCAGATATGTCTGTGCAGCTGTGGTCTTCAGCTCTGTTGAGAGGTAAGTTGGGAAAAGGTCTTGTACTTAAAATAAGTGGCAAAGAACCCTTTGCTACTAACTACTGTTCAGTGTGGGGATGTAGGCTAATGCCAGCGCTCACTGAGGACACTAAATGGTGCCTGGATTTGCGAAATACTGATGGAAGTGCAAGAAGCTTTTTGGTTTTTTTGAGTTATTGATCTTCAGCCCCATCAGCATCCTGTTTGGTGCAGCACTGATGTACTCCGGTCGCTTTTCCTGTGGGCTGTAAGGCTCCTGGGGGGAGAGGCCCTGCAGAGCTCCTGCGTGGCTGTGAGTGGTGTGGGGCAGCAGGCAGGTTTCCCTGCTGTGGCTGGATGGCAGCTTGCAATATCCAGGGCTGCAGTGGTGACTGGAAAGGGTTCCAGCTCACGCCCGTGCAGGGTCCATTCTGCTGCTGCTGCGCTTTGCTTTGAATACATTTCCAGCTGTAGTAAACATTTGATTAGGTTTTGCTCCTGTGTGGGGGCTTTAATAAATACAAGAGGCTATTATATCACTTTATATATAAATATTGTTTAAGCTGACTTACATAGGCCCCAGGATGCTTTGTTCAAATATTGACTAGCTTCTTGGCAGACCGTCAACTTTAATGCTGCAATTGATTTGCTTTCGCTAGAAAATAAAGCAGTAACTCTACCCTTTTTCCAAGAACTTACCCTGCAGCTTCAATTTATATTAAATTGTCATGTTTACTATAAGCATGGTGCCGTGCATTGAGTTCTGCTTTGCTGCTGCCTTTGCTGCAAAACTGCTTCTAGGCAATTGAAATAACTTCTCTCATTCATTTCAATGCGGTAGTTCACATACAAAACATGCCAATAATACCATGAAGAACGTGCTCTAGATGAAACACTATCCCTTGGTCAGCTGTCGTTGCCTCCTCTTGTATCCACTAGCCTGCAAAGAGTGAGAGGCCTAATTTCCATTCTGCTTTGATTCTTCTAAAGCTTCCTCTATAGAACCAGTTACCTTCTTTTTTTGAAGAAAAAGTGCTAAATCAGAAATAACAAAATGCCAACACATGTTCTTCGATAGGAAGTGCATTGTCTCAGCCCCTACCACACTATACTACTTATAATTTTTAGCTGAAATTGTGATACTCAGGAGGTTACCAGTCTTAAATCTGATTGGGCTAATACCTCTGAGTCAACCTTAAAAAAAAAAAAAAGACGCTAGGATCAGCTTTCAGTAAATGCAAATTGGTGAGTTTCTGAATTCCCCCAAAATAAAGGTTTCAGTTTAAAAAAAAAATAATAAATAATGTTCCTTGACCTCTGAAACCCATGCTGGTTCGCATCGCAGATCTGCGGTGAGAAACTCGTGAGTCTCTCTTGTTCCCACTAGATGGTGCTAGAAGCTAAAAGATAATGCAAAGGGCTCAGGGGCTTTCATTGGAGTGAGAAGTTTTTTTTCCTTTTAGAAGTATTATGGTGTTATTCTTAAGGATTGGAAAGTAAAATAACACCAAATCCCGCAGTGTGCACTGCCAGTACTATTGGAATAAGGAAGGTTTCATGTTCTCTGTATGCCCCTGCTTCTCTTAAAAGGGGTTTTTATTCTGAAATTAGATGAGGTTGGTATATTGGCTGTTTAAATTAATTCATTAAATAAATACAGGGAACAGTCTTCTCAGATAAGAGAGCTGATCAGTCGAAAATAGGTATGAACAGTGTTTTCTGGTGAGCAGACGATGCTCTTGTCTTTCAGACCTGAACAAAGCCTGTGGAAATGCAATGGACGCACATGAGGCAGCGCAGATGCATCAAAACTTCTCACAGCAGCTCCTCCAGGACCACATCGAAGCATGCAGTCTTCCAGAACACAATTTAATCTCGGTAAGGGATCTTCATCTTTCAATTAATAAGTGTTCTTGAGGCAAAACACTGTGCTTTGCTTTCCTTTGCTATTCCTGTGAGGTCTTGTGTTTCCTAAAAGTGTTTTATTGATACTCCAGAACTGTTTATTTACTTTTTATGGCTGTTGTAGCAGGTAGCCACTTCATTTTGGTGACAACTGTCACTTTTGAAAGAAATTTACTATGTAGTTGGGTTTAATTTTATTGTTCAGATCACCCAATCAACCTTGTTATGGGGAATGCTTTATTGTACACTGCCAGAAGTACAGTTTTTATTGATATTTCAGCTTTTATGAGTGTTCTCCTTATCTATAAATCTAAATTTCCAGTTAATATGATATTTGATGTCTGTATAGCAATTACCTTAAGCTGTAACTTTTTGTGGACCTCAAATATCGATGTTCTTCCTGTCAGAAACTTTCAACATTGTTTAAAAAATGCTGAAGGCTTTTCTATGCTGGAATCCAGCAAGGGTCTGAGATAACTCACTGTTTTAGAGTGAAATAATGGCCAAATGTGAAGTCAAGGTGCAAGGAAATTTGACATCTTTTTCCCAACATTTACTTTTGGGGAGAGGAAAGGGGGAAAAGGAGGCCAAGAGGAAGAAGCAAATTGCTGGCTTTGGTCACAAAGGGATCCTGAGACCCATGTTTTTTTGTGGTGTGGCCCATGTTGGGAAATGGCCACGGCCAGATGCCTGGGGGCCAGGCACAGAGACTGGAGGCTCCAGCCTCGCCAGTCTTTGCTTGCCATTGCTGGTAATGCATAACCCACGCTAGATTAAATATATGGAGGGGGAAGAAGGTTTAAAAACAAACATTAAATCTGCCCATTTCAGAAGATTTTGGTAAATCCAAGAGGAAAATATTTTATTGATGAAGTAGGTGAGAACCAGAGGCTTTGCTCACTCTGGATACTCTGTGGCTGCAATGTAGTTCTGGCTCACAGACGCATCCAAATTTAGGTGCTTTGTGCAAGTCACGGTTTCCCCTGTTGGGACTGTCAGACTTCACCTGTAAGAGCAGGAAATGCTTTCACTTGATTGCCATTCACCCTGGATTCCTCCTGGCAGTCAGCTAGGTTTGGAATGACGGGCATGTGGAGTGGCTGCAGTTCAAAAGAAATACCAGCCCAGGGAACTCCACGTGTGCGAAACAAAGTCAAACCTGACCCTCAACTTCTTGTCCTGAAATCTTTAATTATCTCGAGGTAGTGAATGTCTGTATGGCGAGCTCCTTCCTCTGGCATCGCTGCCATTCCTCCTCTCCCCGGGTAGAGGCTGTAGGATTTTCATGCTGTTTGTTATCTTTCAGTGGACAGATGGACCACCTCCTGTACAGTTCCAGGCACAGAACGGACCCACCACCAGCCTGGCCAGTCTCCTGTGAAACAGAATAACTATCAGGACAGTGTGTTTAAACAGAAACAAGCAAAAAAGCCAAAAAAAAAGAAAAATAGGAGAAAAATTCATTGCAAAATCTTTTCTTCAAAGAAAAGGCAGCAAATTCCTCTTCTAGTGAGGGCCTTGTAGGAAACGGATTGCATAAAGACAACGTACATTTCATAGACTTGCAAAGTGAGAAGGGCATTTTAAGCTGCTTTTACATAATATGTGTGAATATACAGCTAGTGTGTATATATCTACTGGTTGTAATCTGCTTTCCTCTTACTGAGAATTAAGGTTTAGTCCAAAGGACACTTGTTCCTTAAATTGTTAGATACTTGCTTTTTAAAAAATTGTCACAGCAAACGAAGAGGACTTGCACAGTTTGGAATACCAATTGTATTCTAAATACTTAAACCTTCCCTGAAGTATGATGCATGCCAGTTTTAATGTTTTCTGTGCCCTTCCACTCCTGGGAACAATGGGATTAAATCATGATTGATTGTAGGGTGCCCTAAAGTTCTAAATTTAGCTTCTGAGGTAATATTCTTTCCTCTTCATTGTGTGCAAGTCATTGCCAGCGCTGTTTGTAGCCTTGCAGTGAAGGTAACGCTGAGGTCGGTGAGATCTGAGTTCTGACGGACGGGGTGTTTGCAGCCAGGGGTGAGTTACGCTCCTCGGGGTGGCCTCCAGGCTGAGCAGAGCAGGCTTGCACTGTCACCAGAGGAGCCGATTCCATGTCCTGGATTCATGAGTCTGTGACAGTGCGTGCCACCACTTGGTCCCCATGAGGGTCTCTTCCTTCTTTCTCCCTGTACTGTTGATGCCCAGACCCCCAGGGTAAGGCAGAACCACAGCTCTTTCCGTCTCTGCTACTTCACAGTGATTTGTACTAAAGGAGGAAATTTCTCCTCCTCCTGTTTAGGCCAAGCAACTGGGAAGCAGCATTTTGAATCTCTACTGCAGCCTCACCAAGGCAAGGCAGCATCTGTGCCTTAATGATTTTCACAAACGATTGAAGTGAGTTAAACTAGGTGGTTGAAAGCCAGATCCGATAGAAGCAAGAGGCCTATGATAAAAATTAAACTCTAGTCTTGCACTTGGCAAAACCGTACATTTCCAAAGCTTTTTTGTGCTAGTGTTCCTGGTTTAGCTCAGTTTTTTTGAACTCTTCAGCTGGTTAGGCTCCCTGGATTTGCCTGTGCTTCTGCAGCTGTCCTGAAACAGGAGAGGCACAGCCCAAGTTTGTTCTGTAGGAAGCAGTACAGGAGTTGTTAATTCCACAAAGCACCGGCAGCCTTATAGCAAGGATCTTTGCTGGTCCGTTGTAGGTGTGATGTAAACCTTGCAAGGCTCGTGGGGTCAAACAAAGGTGTTTTGCTCCCTTCATAGCCCTGCATATTTATCTCCCAATTTTAAAAGGGAAAGGGAAAGGAATCTGCTAGACAAGTTCCTTTTGTAGGGCTTTGTGTGATTGCATTTTTTTTTTTTGAAAGAGAAGGAGAATGTTTTCAAGGAAATATTTGACCCCTGAAACATTTAGAATTTATGGTAAAAACAGTCCTGTGAAACCTGTATTTAATGCTCATTCTTTTTGGTCTTTTTTTTTTTTTTTGCTCATTCATTTTTTTTCTGTCTAGCAGCAGCTCACACAGACACCTGCACTTTATAATCTGAACCCCTCAGCTTTAACCACTGACTGATACAAAAGGGACAAGTTCTTGTCCAAGTACCCAAACAAGATGTTATGCTTCCTCTATCAGACGTGATGGTGGTTTAGCTCCTGTTCTCAGTTACTCTTGCAGAAGCTGTGTGTCTTTTAGGCCTTTAGGAAAAACGCGACCTCAATATTCGTGTAGGGAAAGAATATTATTAGGGTTGCAAGAAGAAGGCTCAACGCCATTTGAAAGTCTCACGTATTCCCTAAAAACTCCCCAAAAAAGGGAAGCTGTGAGCTCTGTTACTGTCCAGGGTAGTTGCAGATAGCAGGTACAGGCAGAATCCATGTGGACAGGAGCTATTTTGTGTTGCTTGCTGCAGTGTTTGTCGAGACAGAGCATCCTGTGTCTGCCAGAAAGGTTGAGTTTAGGTCCTGTGCCCTCAAACTCTGCTGGTGTGGCGCAGCTTCCAGGTGAGAGGAGGTCGAGCCAGGCTCGCTCCATCACCCATTTGGGGCAGCTGGGCTGAGATAGAACAATTCCATAACAGGCTTGGATTTTGGTGGGGAATGGTCAGGTTAATTCCACCTTAGGAATATTGATACCACATGGACTTTAGGTCTTTATTTTATTTATGTATGGGAAGTAGTATCTCTCCTGGACTGTTCCCTCTACTGAATGCTCTCAGGAAGTCACTTGGGTTGCAAGAAGTCCGTGCCTGTTTTAAGCACCTAAATGCCATGGGGGTTTTCTCAGCAGTGCTCCTAGCAGCTGAGGAATGACTACTAACTGAAAAAGGTAGTACCCATGTACTTTAAAATTTACCAGTCCCATCCAAGTAATACAGATTTACTTTCTTCTGTCACCCCATCTGAGGCTGTTTAGCTGATACATATCGATGGCAACTATACTAAATCACTTCAAATGTTGGCCAAAAAAGCGCTGCTCCTATAAGGCAGTACTTAAAATTTTAAAACGTAATTATAACAACTCTGGAGAGCTGTGGTTTGAGCTGAGTTTAAGTAAAGCATTTGCAGCAAGCAGGATATCCAAGTGCCCGTGCAGGCAGCTGCATCTCCCGAGCTTTCCTTCCAGCTCTGGGAGCTGCGTTGCCCAGGTCTGTGTTACGGGAGAGTGTTTGCAGTGGCAATTTTCTGGCTCCTCGTTGCACAAACTAGGCTGCTTTGTAGTTCAAATCCCTTGCCGGTCTGTTCTCAGGAGGGAAGGAAGTACTTGAGGGAAAGGCTTGCCTGCTCGCTTCTGATGTAAGTACGCTCAGGTTTTCACCAGGAACCACTAGCCAAGTGTGGTAGCTGAACTTGGAATGTCAGGAAGAAGAACCTGGGCTTTCCCGGTGTGCGAGGAGCCAGCTTCACCTGGGCTTTCCTTCCGTGCAGAGTGGCGCCTCGGGCTGAGCCGAGGCATTGACCCACAGCCCTGCGGAGCTCAGAACTCAGCTCCACCTCTAAAGTCCTCTTCCCGTCACAGAACTTCAAAAATCATGTAAATTTGAAAATAACTTGGTGATTTTCTATCTCTGAAATTCAATGTACATTTGTTACAATGTACAGTGCTTTTTAACTACACTTGTATATTAAATTATTTAATAGTTTTTGCTTTTCAGTATCTTTTGTATGTAGCAGAGATTTAAACAAGGACCTCATAACTGAAGTTCTTCCTAATTTTTGAATGCGTATGTAAAGTTGAACAGAAAACTAGAAGTTTACAGTTTACAATGTTCTGTTAAGTGCTTGGTCTGTCTAACTTGATTTGAACAACATATTTCTAATCTTTCTTGTCCGATCATTCTCTATGAAAACAAACATGAAGTCTTTTATGAACTTCTAAAAAAAAAAATTATTCTTCTAAAGATGTAATTTAGAAAACTGTACAGTTTTTTCTCTAGTATTTTTAAATGAGTAGCGAGAACTTAAAACAGAAGCATCTAATCACTGTTTTGTAGATAGTGTAAAAACTTATGTATGTATAGAGAATGCAGTCTGAAGAACAGTGTTTGCCTGTTGTGTTTCATTTCCTACAGCATGACCATCAGAAAGGCCCATGTACATAGGAAATTGGATCAGTTTGGGGGTTGGGGGATTTAAAAACGAAAAGGAAAAAAAAAAGACTTCATCTCCTGTCATCCCATACGTGCACTCAGTGACACCGTGAGCAGAACTTGACAAAATATTAGGGCCTTAAGTTGTGACGCTGCCTATAGACACATGGGGTACAACTTATTCCGTGTTGCTCCACCACTTTGATTTTTCTCAGTTTTCCAATTTGCCAGAAAGTCAAATTATGATTGAAAGGGTACTGTGATGTCCCATTTTACTTTACTGACCTCTCCAAATCATGCCGAATGAACCTGTTTCCTTAGTGTACTGCAGTTCTGGCCACAGGGGTGAGAACTGCTGAGCGAGAGGAAGCCCAGCCAGTAGTTTAGGCTGTGCAGAACACTTGGAGAAATCAGGATGAAATAACACCTGTCTGTGCTCTTCTACTGTCTGTCTTAGCAAGTGTATTTAATTGTTTCCTGCAGTGAACTTTTAAATGTTATGTCGGGTTTGTACAATGTATTGTTAAGTGTTTGTAGTTCTCCATAAGTAGCAGGATGTGTACCTTCTGCCAGTGCTCCTTTCCCAAGCTGTAAATACAGTAACTCGTGTAATGGGATGGAACCAGGGGCATTCGTTTTTGCCTTTGTTTCCTCTCGTTTTCTATATTAGAAGAATTTTTAAATAAAGTTTAATTTTACTTCTTCTAGCAGCTTGTAGAACATGAATTCCTTAAGTTAATCTGCCGGCAGCCCTGCCTACGAAGGATGTGTTTTGTGTGGAGGGCAGGAGGCCGCGTGTGCTCGTCGGTGCACGAGGAGCCAGGCTACCTGGGGAGGTGGCGGGCAGGGAGCCACGGGGCCCGCAGCTGGCATGCCTGTGCCGTGGGCGAGGGCTCCTGCCCTGGAAGGAGAACCAGAATTTCCTGACTGGGATCGTCCGCCCGACTCCTCGCCTCAGCAGTGCTGGAGAAGCGGCTGAGGGTGGCAAGGAGCGTGCTTTAGGGACTGCTGCTGGAGCCCTGGCACATGTCTAGGGTAAAACAAGGCTGCTCTGGATTCGTTCAACGCCTGGGATTATTTTTTTTTAATGTAGTGTAGGACAGAAGTATTCTCACTGCATTCAGGAAGGATACTGGCTACGCTTGATCTTCACAGATAGGATCTGGTTTACAGGAAGATTGGTTTGTCTCTTTTTTACAAAATTTAAATGTTTCTGGCAGGTACTTTGACATTTAGAACTTAAATTTAAAAGGAAGAAGATGCTGAACTGATTCGTCTGCAAGTGAAACTTGAAGAAACTAACAATTTTAGAACTTACTGTGTACCATCTCCAAAACATTATCTGAGCTGCTAAACTAGTGCCTTAACTTCATCCTAGATGCAAGAGTAGGTTTTGTTCCAACAAGTTACTCTCTTTGTGAAAATTTTAACCCAAGTGACAGCCTTGGGGAAAAAAAAATATTGACAGGTTTCTGCAAATAACTTCACCCAGCTGCTGGGCGATAGAATCTTGTGCTAGACCTGCCCTAAAACTCTGCTGGTGACACAGGGAGGGAAATGGAGATACACATCTGTGTGGTACTGGTGCATTAAAGCATCCCTTCAGAGGGATCCCAGCCTCAGTGCTTCACCACCAAGTTTTGAATGGCCTGAGGTGAAGCCAGGAGCTGTTGGTGCTTTGTAAGTCATCAACCAGAGCAAGAACTGGTTGTGAGCTCTGCTGTTAACCCTTCACCGTGTGTAAGGGAAGGGGGTGGTAAAGGGTGGAGGACGGCACTTTCTAACGAAAATTGTAGTCAGAATTTTAGAAAGGATATTGAACACAAAGTTAACACAAATTTTGAGTCTCCAGAGTGGAAAACAGCTCGAAAAAGCTGAGCACGTTGGAATTTTCCTACCATGAATACAGGATATGCTCCAGGAGCAGGTACGGGGTGCTGAGATGTGGATTCTCGTTCAGGTTCTGCTCTTTTCTTGTAACAGCCTTGATTGCTCGCCTTCTGCTCTCACTTCCCCCCTTCAGCAAAGGGAAGCACACTGACCTGTGCTTATCAAACGTACAGAGTAGGAATGAAAATAAATACGCGTTATTTCTTTTTTTTACCCTTTTGAAACCAGCACCTAAATAACCTCATGAAAAGACGCATCCCGCCCTGCCAACTGCCTCAGCTGCTTGTGGAAAACACCCGCTGGAAAAACGGAGCTGGAATTACCAATAACGTGACGGGAACCGTGCTTTATCCCCCCCACACCCCCCCCCACGCTTCTAACCTTGCTTCACCCGAGACTTTATTCTCCCTTTTTCGAAGCGGCAGCACCGAGTAGCAGGTCCCGAGGGGTTAACGGGTGTGTGTATGTGGGGGGGGGGGGGGCTAATTAACCCAATTAACGCCCCTCCTGAGGAGAGCCGCGGGGGTTCCTCAGCTTTCCGCCGGAGGTGTGGCGGCGACGGGGAAACGCCGGAGCACCCCTGCCCTAGATGAGGGGAAGGAAACGGGGCTGAGTCACCGCCGGTCCCCGCCGCCCCTATCCGCGGCCCCAGCCCGGCCTGCGCGGGCGGATAAGGGCGGCCGGGGCCCCTCCCCTCCCCCCGGGCCGCCCGGCCCTCAGGCGGCCCCGCTCCCCGGGGGCGGCCAGCCCCGCGCCTCACGGCCCGGCCCCGCCCCCTCCGCTCTCATTGGTTCGCCTCACCCCCCCCGCCTCGCGCTTCGTGAAGCCGGTTGGCTCAGCGGCTTGCCCATCAGCGCGCCGCCCCGCCTCTTTTCCTCACAGCTTAGAGCGGGAAGGGGGGCGGGCCTAAAGAGAGCTCTAACTACCGATTGGCCGGCGGGGGCCGGAGGACGGCTTTTTATTGGGCGAGGAGTGAGGAGTGAAAAAAAAACCAACAAACCACCGCCCACTCCACGGAGCCGGGGGCGGGGCCAGAGGAGCTTGGCCCAAATCTGCCTAGCAACCGGCGGGTGGGCGGGAAAAGGCGGCCGCCACAGGAGTCCCGCGCTGCCTGAGGGGGGGAGGCGGTGAGGGAGGAGGAGGAGGAGGAGGAGGAAGAGGAGGAGGAGGGAGGGGGGTGAGGGAGGAGGAGGAGGAGGAGGGAGGGAGCGAGGCGGGGTCTCCCTGCGCGCGCAGCCCCCTCCTCCCTCCCTCCCTCCCTCCCTCCTCCTGTCAGTGGCCACCTGAGGGAGCCGCCTCCCCTCCCCCCACGGCCCCAGTCCGGCCCGGGCCCCGCTGAGGAGGAGGAGGCGGCTCCGAGGGGGCTGAGGAGAGTGAGTGACAGCGGGACCCCCCCCTTTGCCCCCCCCACCCCCCCTTCAACGGCACGGGGACAGCGAGGAAAAGGGACCCGGGGGGGGGGCGATAAAAGGCGGGGGGGGGGCGCCCCGAGGGGACCCCGGGGGCTGAGGGAGGAGGGGAGGGGAGAGGAGGGGGAGGGGAGGGCCCTGAGGGGGTGTAAGGGGGGGGAAAGGGGGAAGGAGAAAGGGGGGGGGGAGGTTGAAGGCCCCCCCTGGGGTTGAGGGGGGAGGGGAGGGCCCGGAGGCCTCTGGGGGATTGGCCCCGGGGTGGGGGTGGGGGAGGGGAAATTAAAAAAAATTAATAATAATTAAAGTGTGGGAGGGGGGGAGGGGAGGGAGAGCGGCTGGGGAGCTGCCCGGTGGTAAGGGGGGGGAGGGCAAAAAGGGGAGGGGGGGGGCAGCTCCTGGAACCAACCCCCCCCCCCCATAGGGGGCAGGAGCGGGGCCACGGGGGGGGGAGGAGGGGAAGGGCAGGGCCGGCGGGGAGGGGAAGGGACAGCAGGGGAAGGGAGAGGAGGGCGAGGACCTGGGGGGGGTGAGGGGGTGAGGTTGCCCCGGAGCCCCCCCCTCAGGAGCAAAGTGGCACCCCAGGACGGGACAGGACAGAGCTGGGGGGGGGGGGGAACCCCAAAAGGTTGGGTGCCCCCTGAGGGGGGAGAGCGGGGGCGAGGAGGTGGCCCCCGGAGGGGACCTGCCGGGGAGGAACAAAAAACAAAAAAAAAGAAAAAAGAAAAAAAAAATCAAACAACAACAACAAAAAAAAACAGCATTTGCTTGCTGGAGGGTGCCAGATGGGTTGGATTCGCGACAGGACTTAAGATGGAGGTGGTTGGTGGGGCCGGTGCCAAAGCCGAGGACTTCTGCCCGGCTTTGGGGATGCGCGGAGGTTCCGTGTGCTCCTCGCCGCGGCGTCGCGCTCGCCTCGGGAACTCAATTACTTTCTTTTTCTGGCAGCGTTTCATCTCTGTACGACTTCTTTTTTTGGGGGGGGGGGGGGGGATTTAGTTTGTACGCGAGACGAGCTCGATTCAAAATAAAGTTATATCCTGTCTGTGGTCTACCACCTTCTCCTCACCCCCAGCGATCTGCCATGTTTCACAGAACCTCTATAGGTGGCTTTTTGAAAAAAAAACCTAATCCGTTATTAATTTTCTATCCCTTTCGCCACTTTTTTTCTGTCTTTGTGATAAGCGTGGTGAAAAGCTAGAGAGAGAAGAAGGAGCGTGCATAGGAGCTGCGTGCGCTGGCAGTTGCTGTAGGTAAAAGAATTGTGAGTTTAAGTGCTGAGAAGTGTCTAACTTCACAAATTCTGACTCTTCAGAGCACTTTAAGCAGCATATCCCAAACAAGAAAAAAAGTTTAAGGCACGAAAAAGCTTTTCTCTCTGCTCTAATTTGAGAAGGACCCTGAAATGTAGTGACTAATCAGCTTAGAAATTGGTGCTGTTTGTTTGAACTAGTGCAATACGAAGCACTAGTAAGTGCAAAGAAAATCATGCAGAGTGCTGCAGCGTTTCTCATGGCTGTCCCAAGCACAAAGTTTTAAGGAAGAAAACACGGTTTTGTGGCAGGCAGGCTTCTTGTGGATGGAGCTTTTAGAGGGAGCTTCTCCTCTCAGCCTGAGTGGCACAGATGATTTCTTCTTTTCTGAAGACTTTTTCAAGAGTTTAATGACACGTGTTATACAAACCTGAGCGCGCACGCTGTTCAAACAGTGGCTAAATCTCCCAGGGAGTAAAACAGATGATGTTACCACGCGAGCAGAACTGAAATTACGTCTGTGTGCCAGTGGTCCCTATGTCCCGCTGTCCAAGGGGCTGCTCTCTGCAGCAAGCAAAATGCCGCAGGCTATTTCATGGCTCCCAGTTGGCTTCGTTTTAAACATCCTAATTTCCTGTTGCCGTGAGCAATTCCAGAGGGTCTTGCAGGAAGAAACTTGTCTATAAGCAATGAGTTGGGGACTACAAAAAACCCCAACTTTTGTTTGAAAAGAAAAGCACACGAACATAGTAACTTCTGAAAGCTACTTCAAGAATGGGAACGCGCTTTCATCCCAAGTTAATTATCCGGTTTCCCTCATAACAGGCTGAGTGCTTCAAGGATTGTGCACGAGAGGCAGCCCCATAGAATGTTAACCTCCTTATTGCAGCAAAAAGAATACAAAGTCATTACTAGATTAAGCTTTAACTGAATGTCTCTCGTCTCAATAGAGTTCAGCTGTTTGGACCAGAGAGAGAGATTGCCTGCTTGTGGCCCTAATATCTTCAGCTTGAATTTAAGGAGCCTGCTGAGCCTGGAGAAACTGGCTCGTGCGTTGTCGCAGTTTCCCAAAGGCAGGTAGGGAATTAAAAACAGTGGTGACTTTACTCAGCGGGTCACAGCCGCATCTCTGTGAGCACTCCCGAGGGAACAGGAGACAACCCTCACACGTTTCCCTGTAGGAGCCCAGCACTGTGGGAGGAGGATTCGAATCTTTTGTAATGCTGAGACCCATACAAACTGGGTTAAAATCATACAAATTGAATTAAAAATGCCCACGTTTCAAAACTCCCGGCCTGCTCGCATCCCCTGACATGCTCATGGCCCCTTGAGGAACTGAGCAGTGTCCGTGGGCTACCACTGTAGTGTGAAATATCTCTGTGGCTCTCTCGCTAAGAGAAAAAGCACTTTGAGAAGATGTATGAAAAATATTTCCCTGGTCCAGCTTGTCAGTCGTGTCCTCCATTCCTCGCACAACGCCAGGCTTCAATCTCATCTGCGTTTCTGGGCTGACTCAGAGCACCCAATTTCACAACTTTGGTCTGCAACCAAAAATATCAGTGGACGTTGCAGCCAAAGAACAATGAGGGAAGACACCCTAAAGAATACCCCTTTGCTGACTAACTCCCTTTTCTGCAGAGCAAGGTGGTGTGCGTGTTTTTGGAAACCTGACCAGTGCTGTTTCTTGCCCAGGTTTGAGAACTGAAGGCATTTGTACCGTGTGCGCACAGGTAGGCTGGCTGTTGAGCATCTGAGTCTTCAGATGCCAGGGGTCACAGCATAAAGAATGTTGTATTTTTACCTAAGCAACATAAATCACACCAACCAAGGCTGTTGACCCATCTTAAGCCCAGGAGAGCGTACTCCTCTAGGAGTACTCTTCAGCAGGGTTAGAAGAGAGAGCTCCAAAGCTGGCATTCAAAGACAAGAGTTCCCATTGCAGGACAGAATCCTCCCTGCCTGTTCACTTGAGTCGTTACTTTTAATCAAATAGGTCTCTCGATTTGCAAAATAAGCAAATCATGCTAGCTGTGAAGGGTTCTCACCTGGAAGATGGCATTTCCCTGGAAGCAGATGCTCGGACACACTTGCCACGTGTGAGTTGCCCCCTCTTTATCAGTTTCATCCTCCAGCAGTCTGCTCACACGCTAGATCCTGCTGCTTAGCTCAGCCCCAGTCCTTGCTAAAGTGAATAATGAGGGTGTTAGTAACAAGCTGGAATATTGGAATACCTGCTGCGTTTGCTTTTGGGTTGCCTGCCATTGTAAACCAGTGGCTTTATGCTCATGGAGCAACCAGAGCTATTTTCAGGGTTTATCCATCTTTTTACTCTTCTTTCTGTAGCCCGTAGCAACTTTCTCTTTGCCAGAAAACTCTTTATCTTCTAACCCACCAGCCCTTATTAATAGCCTCTTATTAGTTCTTTAATTTTCTGCCACTGAACCCAGCTGATGAGGGAGTTCCAAGGAGGATGGAGAACGTGAGAGATTGTGGTCGGTGTTTGGTGACAGACCCCAACCCACCATGCTGGGGACGTTTTCTGACAGACTCAGGGCATGACTGCCAGTAGAAAATCAAGTTGCTGCTTTTTTCTAGCTGGTAGCTTTCCCGTTTGTTCCCAACGTACTCGCATGTAATTACTGATACATTATAAACATTGTATTCTGAATTTATAGACAGCATCTCCCTGGCCCGTGGGGAGCCCATGTGTAGTTGCCTTGGTTCCCCTGCGCAGAGCAGTTAAACTCTCCCTCAACAACTGATTTATATAACTGAAATAGCTAGGGAAGTGAGAAATTTCCTTCCTCTTAGGATACAATGCCAAGGATGTCAAATCTCTAGAGAGCCTGATGATAAGAACTGGGCTGTCCTTTTCTGCAGTTATTAAACAAGTAAATGACTCGTCAGAGCACTGAAACCATGGGATGCGGCTCTGTGGCAGTCCCTCTCCTCCTCGGTTGCAGGCACCCCCGCAGGTCCCGGGAAAGGCTGGGTGAGGAGGTGATGGAGGAGAAGCTTCCTCCCCACAGGGGAGCAGAGGGAGCTGCAGGTTTGGGTGAACTAGATGCGATTTTTCCCAAGCTACCTCTTGGCAAAGCACTGGGAACGGTAATCCTACTGGTAACCAGTAGGATTTTGTGATGGCTGCGAGGGATCTCCCGCTCAGTCTCTTCTCAGTACCTGGCTTTGTTGTCCAGGACAAATTTCAGCTCGGAAGACAGCTCACCAAAACCCATAGACACAGCCAAGTGTTCTCTGCTTTCTGAACTCCTCCTGTTCCCATTGAGCAGCCTCTCTGCTCTGACACAAAACTGGGGGAAACTGGGTGGAATTTGTGGGGCGCTCTGACACCGTGAGAGTCTGTGGGAAGAATCCCCTGGTTTTACCCTTCCAACTGAAGCAGCACGTTAGCTTCTGTGAGGGTGGGCAAAGGAGCACGCTGACATTCCTGGGTGAGGACTTGGTAAACTCTAAACAAGCCCCGGGAACAGGAGATGCTTTATGAATCCCTTTGCCTTGAAATCTACCTGAAAAAAAAAAAAAAAAAAAAAAAAGACCAGCAATGGCTGATCCCATCAATCCTAAATTTAGAAGTGAATCTAATTTCTAAGCCTTGCTTTTCAGCAGGAAAGCAGGTTATAGAACTGACCTGGTACAGTTCTGTTGGGGGAAGAGAGGGAATTAGCAGGGGGTTAGGGGAGAAGACTGGCATTTTTTACACGCTGATAATAAACATCTTATTAGCAGAAGGAACAATGTTAATAAATGCTTACAGTAAACATGGTGTAAGACTCGGATAATCCTTCTGAAAATAGAGAGGTTTTCCTACTCCGATAACTATCCAGTCACCTTGATGGAGATCAGCAAAACCTCGCGAGGCTTTCTTAGACTTTGGCTTTACATCAGTGTGCCCGTGACTGCCTGTGACATAACTGGATGGTGAGGCTGTGCTGGCACCTTGCAAATACACAGCGAGTCCTTGGCAGCAACAGGTAACAAAGGGCTCAGAGCATTCATCTTAAAAAAATCACCCTGAGTTCTAGCAAACCAGCAGCAGGTTGAACTGTCAAACCTCTGTTCACCTCTGAAAGGTTACAAGAAAGTCGAGAGGCACAGCCAACTTGCTTGTTTGGCCTCGACGTGCTACAAATTTTAATAAAGTTAATTATAATCAAGGCAGTGATTTTGTAGCGGGATGGCACAGGTGGCTTTGCATGCAGTGCAGGTCTCGGTGCAATGCTGATCCCGGGCTGGGTCCCCTGAGAAGCCAGGAAAAAACGAGCCCTCCCTTTTGCAGCCCTAAAGCAAATGCCTGCTTTATAGAAGGGACAGTATTCTGAAGGTGTTTTGCTCAAAGTTCCTAATTTTTGCTCTTTATCTACCTTTTGTTGCAATCACTGCATACTTGGAAGAAATCTAGAGTAAGAGGACTTTGTATCCCCTTCCATCAGAACTGTATCACTGGAAAAAAGCCTTGCCTAGGCAGGACTTAGAATTAAGAATGCTTTCTGCCAGCTCTTTATTTCTCAGTTGCCCCAACCGTAAGGATCTTTGGGCAGTACTCGTCTGTTAAACCACAGAGAAGTGTCGGTGTCACGGCACCCGTGCAGCCAGATACCTGCTCGTGCCGGTGCTAATCTCCGTGAGGAATCTAGTCTGATGCTGGACTGAGAGAATAACTGCTGGGAATTGCTCAAATCCATCTGTGGAATTTAGGTGGAGTTCCTCATGCTGCAACTACAAACCCACTGACCTTGGGAGAAGCGTTCCCTGTGTGCTCTGGAACCCTTAATTTGTAGGGTCTGCATTGTAAAACCAAATCCATCCTGAATCGGGTTTTTCTGTGCCCCGTGTACCGAGTGGCCAGCAATGACTGCGGAGTTTGTTCAAATCTGGTTAACAATGAGTGATGCTTTTTTAACAATGACAACCCCAAACCTGCAGCTTCCAAGATGCTTTAGTGGATAAACACAAATCCTGCTGAAAAATCCTTTTGAACCATTTTTAAGTTGATACCTTGCAAATTTATAGCTCAGCTGAGCAGCACAGGCTGACTTTCGAACTCAGATCAGGAGCATTTTTGGTGCAGTTCCTGAAAACCATCGCAGCCCTGTGCAGGAACACCTTGAGTGTGTCAGAGGAAGGGTGAGAGCAAAGTTTTGAGTGTGGCATTTACAGTACCCTACAGCTGTAGATCTGCTCCTTATCTTCTGGAGAAATTAACCACTTCAGCACAAGCACTCCAGTCAGCCCGATTGGTCCCCTCAAGGAGAAAAGCTGCTTTTCTAGGAAATGGGATAGCTACAAATAGAGCTTCGAGAACACAGTTCTCTACTAGAACTGGTAAAAGCTATTAGTTATCGAGGTCATAGTTATATTTCCTCAATTACCTCTAATTTGGAGGGTGGTAAAGACCAAAATCTGAGAAGGACCAGACTCTCTCCATGCTGGAGGAAATGTCTTACATGTTTTAATTCTAAGAGCACTTGCCAGTAACAACGTATTAACATCAGCTCTCTTCTGCTTTCCCTGTCCAGGGTTTCAGAGTATACAGATATTGATACCAGTGTGAATTAGTAATTTAAATATTTTTGAATAAGGAGCCAACAAAAAAGTTGTACACAACTTGAAGTGTTCATTATCATGCTCCGAAAGGAGGCAATTCATACTTAAAATTACTTTGTAAGTAGCCCAGCCGTCCCGTTGCACTCAGAGACTGCCCCGGAGAGTCAGAGGAGGTAAAAGCAACGTGTGCAAGAGGAGAGGAAATCAGCAGATGACGATAAAATCACCTGATTGCAGATGTGGACTGTGGCACAGCCCCTGAGTTTCATTTAGCAGGGAAAGCCGGCGAGCAGCAGTCCCGCTGGTGCACAGCAGGCTGTGGGGTCCTGCTTCCCGTGGGACCGGGGCAGCCGGGATCTGAGCCATACAGGACCTCGGCAGAGTTCTCTCCAACTAGTTAATTCTTCTCCTAATCAGGGTCAAGTTCTGATGAGCCACGTGACGGCGATCAGTAAACAAGCGAGAGGTGCTTGTTTACAGCCATCCCTCGCCGGAATGGCTCCGTGGCTCTGACTCACTGTTTGCCAGCGAAAACGTTTGTGTCCGAAGCTGCAGGTCACGAGCCTAACCGAAGAGATCTGCGCCGGGCTGCGGAGGACCAGTTTGGGGAGCTGGAAGATGGTCTTTTGGCAGATCTTTCAAAAAAAAGCAATGCCGGCTGAACTTTGTGCTCTCCCACTTCTGAGCAAAATCGATAGTCCATGAAGCGCTTGCTGAATTGGAGCAGAGCTCCTAATATATCCCCTTCCAGCCATAAAAGTGCTTATTAGGGACAGGGTCAGATCATATCACGCTGAAAGCACCATCTCTGGCCCGGCAGTATTTGCATATGTCTGCTGCTTTCCCCATTTCCTGAATAACTTACTGATCTTTTTTTTTTTTTTTTTTTTTTCAGTTCACAAAGCTTAATTTTCATTTCTCTTTGGGGTTATTCACCTCAGCGCTTAGATGGTGCAATTTTGGCCCTTTCCAATCTCGCGTCCTGCTTTGCTGCAGAAAACCTTTAGGAAAACTTTTAAGAAAACCCGCGGGTGGGAGATGGGCAGACAGACCCCACGGTGCGGCTCATATAGGGACCGAAGGGCAGATTCTTCTTGTCAAAAAACACCCCTTTACTTCCTATCATATTCCTGAACTACTTTCCAGAAATTCTGGCTTGAGCAGCTGGTGGTGGCTGCAACTTGCGCTTGCAGGAACACAGTTTCAGCAGAAAACAAGTAAAGGAAGGTCTCTTGGTCCCAAATCTATGGAATTCCTTTCATTCTTAGCATAAGCCATCTTAAAATTGTATTCCTGTAATTTCTAGCACCGTCGTAGCACGATTACAGGTCTATTCTTTCTTCCCTTTAAATAATTAAATATATCATCTCTTAATTTCAAACTCCTAGCCTGCAAAAAATACATTATCTACAAGGTCCTGGGGCTGGCTTTTTTTAAAAAAAAGAAAGATTGCAGTCTGCCATCCTAGGATCGGACACCAGGGCAACACCCCCCCTATACAGCCCCTGGTGTACGATGGAAACCAGGTGAGCCTGACAGATGGAGCTGCTGATATGAAATATTCGGAGCTCTCTGTGCTCCTGCCTTCGTGATCCTCTGGACCATCCGGTGATGTTCCCTGCCCTAAGTAACGCACATATCGGCTGCCGAGCTTCGGGACCTGCTCAGCCTGTTCCGTGTGCCAACATTAGCATGTTCCCGTGCCTCTTGCATCTGCTGCTGGTTGCAGGAAGATGACCAAGTCTTCCAAATCTGGCGCGGGTTTTACTTCCTTTTCTTCTTTGACCTCTAATTCCGATGCGCGGTATCTTGAATTTTCTGAGAAAAGGCCTAATCTCAGCCTTCCTCCTGGGATATTTGTGAATGTGGCACAAATTTTACATCTTGCTTTTTTTTCTGGTCACATCCCAGTACCAAATTCTGCTCTTGTTGCAACAAAATTAACTTCCTGGTGTATGTTACGCTGGGTGGTATTTTAATGAGGCGTGGCAGCAGAGCGTACGGGAAGGATGAAGTAGGAAGGATGAAATGTTTTATCCCTGATAACACCTATGGACTTTGCATCTGGAGTGAGGGAAATAACCTTTGCAAGACCAACTTCACGTTGGACTTCATGGCTCCAGCCAAGTTTTGCTCTCTTGCTGAGGTGTTTGGAGTTAAAGCAGGGTCTGGGCTACGTAATGTCAATTTTGGCTACCAAAATCGATAGCGGTGCCGGTCCCTGGGCTCATGCCACAGTTCCTAAGTGAAAACCAAGCGCAAGCGAGATGCAGGGGGGACCTGCTGGGTTCTCTCCACGCTGAAATTTGGGCAATAACTGTTAGAAAGGATGGAACCAACCGAGGTGCCCCTAGCCGGGCCCGCGGGCACCGCTCCCACCGCGGGCTGCAGGCCCTGGGGAGAGGCACGGCCACGGCGCAGCTGCTGCCTCCCCCGGCAGCGTCACCGTCACCGTAATGACACACCCAGGGCACGCCGACCGACTTCCCAGCGCTCTCCTTCTCCCACCTCTACTGCCTGACACTTAATTGCCTGCGTGTAATCAAGGCCCAGGCGAGGTGCGGTGAGGTAACGCCGCCGCGGCGCTGCCCCGGCCCCTGCAGCATCCCACACGGAGCAGCTCGGCCAAAGCGGGGCTGGTGGTTTGCTGAAACGGCTCCCGAACTATTGGATTTTAATTTGAACGCAGCACTTCGTCTAGATTAAAATCCAATCATGTTAATAGGCTGATGTCGCCTATTTCAATGAAAGCGTCCCTCGGCGGTGCGTGGCGCCCAGGTATTTCGCTCAGAGCCCCCAAAAGGAGCGCGTTGGGCTTAGAGGAGCGCTGACAGTGAGCTGTGAAGGTTTTAGGTGCTATTTTAGGTCGGAGGGGGCTGCTCTAATCGTGTTTCACCAACACTCTCTTACTCCACCTGGCAAAGACGTTGAGGTGATCTGTTTAACCCAGAGGCAAGGCACCTTAACAGCCCTTTCAGGTGTCTGCTTTGGGTTGTTTGGCCCCAAGCAGCATCAGCTTTATTTCTTTCTGAACCCACGATACGCATTTACAGAACTTTTGAACTCCAAACTTTTTAAAATCAAACAGACACAGGTAGATTAATTATTTTTTCCTTAATTTAAGGTTTCACAGAACTCGCCTCCCCAAAGCACCTTAGGATTAGTCTCCCTTCAGCCGCTTACACAAGCGTGTTGCAGTCCCTCCACCTGCATGCACTTCTCTTGCAGAGTTGCTTCACCGTACGCCGGCACTTCTAGGAACGCACAGCTCTGTGGTTCTCTCGCTGACAGAGCCAGCAAGTTGCTGCACTCATTTCTCACTGAAAGAGCAGCAGCTCGCGTCTTCGTTAAGTAATTACAACCCTGCTGCACCTTGCAGGTGACTTCGTTACGAGTCCCTCGGGATGCTGCAGCGGTGCCGTCCCCCAGCAACGGGGCCCCCCAGGAGAAGGAGGTCTTTACCGAAATGAAAAAAGATCAGCAGCTCCTCTCAATCCACTCCTCAAATATTTCCTAAATAATCACCGGCTTTGATGTTTTAAGTAAGGGGATGAAAGAAAAGCGTAAGGCGAGGTGCTCTTCGGCCTGTGGTGGTGTTTCTGCGCGTTGTGTTTGAAGGACTCGGTGCTTGGGTTGGTTTCCTAGGGTGAGGGTTACCTGACCTGGAGCAGCTAAGGCCGTGGGGGCCTCGCCACTCCGGCATTTTTTATGTAAAACAAAAAGAAGTTGGCCAAATTTCGGGTGATGTGCTGACCGTGAGACCGTCGCTGTCTGAAATCCTCCGTGCTCGGGTGCGGGGTATAAACAAGTGGTTGTAACCCACTGAGCAGGCTCCCCGTCTTTTCACGGGACCTACAAACTAATTTTCAGCCTCAGAATTAAGTCATCAAAATTCTAAAGAACTTTACCAATTATTCTGCTTCCAAATCACTTTCAATCAGCATCACACTTGGAAACGCGTTGGCGGGGAGCATCGCACACGAGGTCTGGCAGAAAAGTGCTTATGGGGCAACCTCCTCCCCAGCTCTCTGCGACATCCCTCCCGTTTCTAAATTCATGCTTCAGCTAGGTTTCAGAAAACGTGGCAGAAACGTGACTGCAGAGCCAGAAGCTTCATCTTTTTAGAGAAAGGAGGACCCCAGAGCACGGGGTATGGCCCTGCTGGGAACGATCAGCCTGAGACTTGGGGGGCATAGGGAACGCGATGCGCTCAGGCTGGTGACTTAGGAGCCAACAGACCCTGTCCAGGTGATACCCCGTGTCCTGAAACATGGAAAATGGGAGATATTAAGGCTTGGTGGCGTTCGTCTGGTACAGAAACTGTCTGTGGGGAGCTAGGCGAGCTCTGATAGTTGGGTGCCTTGCCAAGGTTGCCCTGAATGTTCTGGTGGCACCCTGAGGGTGACACTGGGCGAGCAAAAGGCAGGGAGGGAGCAGCACGTGGCGAGGACACGAGGAAATTGGTAGCCAGCTGGAGAGCCGGTGGGCCCAAACTGCATCTGGGGGGGTCGCAAGCGTCTCGGTGGGGTCAGTTACATGAACTGTTCCGTTTTAATCCTCTTCATTTGGCCATGGGTTTACGTGCTAGGCTTGAGATCTGCTGAACACGGCTTCAGACCCCCCCCCCAAAAAAAAAAAAAAAAAAGTTTCCTATGAGCACGGTGGCTCTGCCCTGAGCTGGGCACCCCGGGCTTCGCTCCGCATCTCCTGCACGCTCTGTTTTGGGGCCGTTTTCGGAAAAAACACGAGCTTTTGAGTTTCTAAGTGATACTGGGGGGGGGTTAGAGCAAAACCCCAGTGGGGGAGCAACCCGGGGGAGCAATGCCCGGGGGGGCGAGCAATGCCCTGCTGGTGCCCTATCCCCGGTGGGACCCCGCTGTCCCCGGTGGGATCCCTGCCTAGGAGGGGGGGGGGGGGGGAGTGCCCCCTGCACCCCCCTGGGGCTCCTCCGCTCCCTCCACGTGGCCCCGGGGGCTCCACGGCGCGCCCCGCGGCGGCGCCCCCCGCCCGCTTCTCAACCAATCCCCGGGCGGCTTCCAAAGCGCCGCGACCCCTCCGGCCAATGGTGCCCCGGGTCACAAACCTGGCTTCACCCATTGCCCGGAAGCGGAGCCGGGGCCCCCGCGCGGCTGCTGCTGCTCCCAGTGGCTCCCAGTGCTCCCAGTGCTGCTCCTCCGGCCCCTGCCCGTCCCCACGGCCCAGGACGGGCCCTGCCCCGCGCATGCTCCGCCGGGTGACGCCGCGACTCCATGTGTGAGCAGCGCAGGAGTGGGCAAGGGGAAAAAAGCCGCTGCTGGGGGGGGGGGGTGTGTAAAAGGGGGGGGGGGACACCGGTGGAAGGGGAGAAAAAATTAATAATAATAATTAATAATAATAATAAATTCGGGGGCCGGCGAGCAGAGCACGGGGAGGAGGAGCGGGGGCGGCCGGATGCGAGGCGGCGTGAGAGTGAGTTTCCAGCCCCAAACTTCGGTGGCCGGGGTGGGGGGGGAGGGGGGGTGGATTAATTTTTTTTTGGGGGGGGGGAGCTGGAGTGATTCGGGAACCCCCCCCCCCCACCCCCTAACCTCCTGCCCCAGGGTGTGAGGGCAGCGGGGGCAGCGCTCGGGGAGTGCAAAGTCCCAAGGGGGGGGGGTGGGGGGGGGGACGGGGGGGGATACGGGACCGGGGGGGGGTTGGGGGGGGGTTTGGGGGGGGGGGGCCGGGCTCGGTCCCGGTTGTCCCGGGGCTCGGCGCCGGCTTTTGTTCGGCAGCTGCGAGGTTTTCGGTGCGGAAAGTTGCTCCGGGCTTTCCGCCGTGCCTGCTTCCTCTTCCTCCTCCTCCTCCTCCTCCTCCTCCCCCCGTACCCCCGGGGCGGGGTGCTCGCTGCCAGCCCCCCCCCTCCCCCCCTGCACCCCCCCTTTTACCCCCCTCTCCCCCTATCCCTACCCTACCGCTTCCCCCCCCCCTCCCCTTCCTCCCCCTCCTCCTCCTCCTCCTCCTCCTCCTCCCGGCCCCCGGGGGCCCCGCACCGAGCGGCCACCCCGGGCAGCCCCCCCCCACCCCCCCACCCCCCCCCATGGCACCGGCCTTGTCACAATAAGAGTCCGTCCCCGCCTCAAGGTGCACCACACCCGGCTGCCACCACCGCTCCCCACCCGTGGGGTCACCGCCCGTGGGGCTGGGGGACACGCCGAGCCCCCAGGGACCCTCCACCACCACCCCCGGTTCACCCCCCCCTCCATGCCTCCATGGGTCCCCCGGTTGAGGAGGGGGTCCCGGGGGTCCCGGCTTTGGTCCCCCCCATGTGTGGAAGCAGCAGAGATTCGGCATCACCGCTGCCTCCGAACGGGAGTTGGGATGCGCCGACTTGCTGGCCCCGCAGCATCTGCTGGGGGTTTGATTTGAGCCCCTTGGGGTGCCCGGGGTTTTACTTTCGCTTGGCTCCTCGGGCAGCCCCTGGCTCTCCTGGGGTCATTCAGGAGCCTCCTTCCCCCTCCAGCACCGCCGAGCCTCCCGGGTGCGACGCCGACCGGTCAGGCGGGCAAATGGCCCGAAATTCTCATTCTCATCCCCGAAATTCTCATCCCCGGCTTCCTTTCGCAGGTGCCTCTGGCTTTTCGTGTTTCTCCCTCAATCTGGCTGCGAAGGCAGCTGGAAGCGGAGGCAGGCGAGCTGCAAGCAGAGGGTGTTACACAGGAAGTGAAAAGCGGAGAGGGGCCGTTGGGAATCACAGACGTGCTGGCAGGCTGCAGGCAGGAGGAGGCAGGGATCCCGCTGCTCTCCTGGACCGGCTGCTGACCGGGTCCCGAGCCAAGGGGAGGCCTGGGCAGGACGCGGCAGGACCCTAAGGGATGCTCGGTTAGCAGAGGTAGAGGACCGGAGGCTGGAAACGGGACGAGAAAGTAAGAAACTGGGCGCTGTTGGTTGCCTCGTTGTCCTAAATCACTTGGTGGCCTCCTGGGCGCAGTGTGGCTGCGGGCCTTGCCTCTTGGGCTGGTCCCGTAAAAACCCAAAAGACTAAAAAGGTAGAGGTGGGGTGGCGGTGGAGGTGCCATCGCGGTGACACCTGCTGGTGCCATCGGGCCCCGGTGCCACCTCACAGTGCGGGGGGCTGTGACACGCACGGAACCGCGCGCCCCGTGGCCGCGCTCCGCTGCTCCCCGCTGCTTGGCTGGATTGGAGAGCCCTGGGCGAGAAAATGGGGTGATATCCTAACGAGGCTCTGCGGTGAAGTATCTGAGGCAGGATCACAAAATAAGGTAGTTTCAGGGCTGAGGGAGCTGCTCTTATTTTTTTTTCCCCCCCTCCCTTGCTGCGTGGTCTCGAAAATCGGGAGGGCTGCGCGGGTTGGCACGCGGCTTTCTGGCTGTAAGAGCTGACACTGGGCTGATGTTCTTCTAACTTTTCTTGGGGAAAAAAGACCAAATATTACCAGTTAGCGTGCTCTGGTTCTGTGGTGGTGTGAAAAGGAGACCAAATTCTGCATTCGAAGGGAAAACCCACCCCGGTGGGGTTACGTTGGGAAGGAGGCGTTGGGGATCTGCGATGGCTCGGTGGCTCGTGGTGGAGCCGGAGCGAGCCGAAAACATTTCCCTTTCCTCGGAGGTGGAAGCAGCGAGGAGTCGCTGACGCCGTCCCCAGCAGCGTTACACAGCCGTGAGGTTACGGCAGCGGGCGATGATGCAACAGAGTTGGCGGATGATGCAGTGTCAGGATGCTAATGCTGTAACTTAATATAGCCGTGTTATGACTTTTGGGGTAATTACAGGCTGGCAGTCGCATGCGGAGCTGCTCGGAATTGGTGGTTTGGATTCAGAGGGGGGCTCACGCGTTGCGTGGTAGTTTGGAGGCTTACGCAGGGCACGATGAAGGATGTGGGGTGGCCACGAGTGTGCACACGTACGACGCTTGTCCCCTTTGGGGACCCCTCTGCGTGGTCCAAGGTTTGCCCTGGAATTATCCCCTCGCGGTCAAAGGACCTACAGCGGAGGGAGGAACTCGGGGCTTACTGTCTTATGGTCTTACCCTGCTATTTCTGGGTGTGCTCCTCGTTAGCCCTGCCCGGCCTCAGCACCCTTGGTTCAATCCCGCAGCCCTTGTGCCCTGCTCCTTTTCGGGAGGGAGAGGAGGAGGAGGAGGAGGAAGGATGCTGGGGGGGGTAAAAACCCAAAGGGCATCACCTTCGGATAGCCCGTGGATGGGGCTGGAAGGGATTTAAACATGAAGCTGAAAGCTCTTTTGGGTGCCGGGGGGGGGCACATCTGAGATCATCTCGTGCTTTCGGTTGTGCCTCCTGAAATGGTGGCCGTGTTGTCGAGTCCCTGGCCGGCCGCCAGCCAGCCAGAGGTCCCGGCATCTGGCGCAGGCACTCGGGGAGGGCAGAGCCAGCGAAGGTGCCGCGGTGCTCGGCGGAGCGGGGGGGGTCCCTGGCCGGGCAGGGAGCGCTCCCTCTGAGCGGAAAACGTGGCTTTGCTGCCTAAATTTAGGTTGTTTTCATGGAGCGCGTTTCGAACCACAAACTTGTAGATGCGCTGCGGAGATGCTCGGCTCTGATAGCAGATATTGGGTGTTCTTACACATCTAAAAGCCCAAATCTTTGCGCATCACAGCCTGCTCTTTGATATTATGCTCATACGAGCTCTTCCCCGGGCTGAAGTTTTCTTTAATAGTTATGTTTCTTACTGCTGTGCTCGGGGGGGGGATACCTATGTGGTTCTGTGTGGTTTTTCTGCTCCTGTTTCACAAAGCACCCTATTTTTGGAAGGTTGTGTCTCTGTACAGCGCCGGTGGGAGGTGACAGGGGCTCTTCCTGGCCCGGGGAGGTGCTGCCCAAATAGTTCACAACCAAAAAGTTGGAAACAAAACGTGTGGGGTGTGTGTGTGCCCCAATGAATTAAAATCCACGCGCTGAGCTCTCGTTACAGCACTAAGAGCGGTGCTGCTGAGGAGCCCCTTTACAGGCACAATCTCAGTAACGTGGAACTGTTTTTATTTATTTTTTTTTCCCTCCAAATGTTCCTGGAGTCTGTGGCATCTGAAAATACGGCGGACTTATTTTTAGACTTGGGGGGAAGTAGCGTTTGCTTTTGTGCAGTGCTGCTCGTGTCTGAGGTGTTGCAGCACAGGCTGTGGACCAGCATGTGAAGTGCAGCGTAGTTTGGTACTACGTTCGTGTATTTTATTGGGGGATAAAAGGGGAAAGAACGTGCTCTTGTGGACTAGGAAGCACCAGGACAGCCTCACAAGGGTGTTTTTTGGAAGTGTCTCCTTGTTTCCTCAGGCTGCCCCCGCTCTCCCTGTGCTGCTTGGGTTAGATTCATGCCCTTCAAACTTACAAGAAGTTTGGCACTTCGTACAGATACTCCACTTAATTATGCATCTATATTATAAATGATTGGTTTAAAGACTCAGTTTTGGTTCTTTGTGAGTTGTTTTTACTTTTTTAATGCTTTTCCACCCTCCTTTCCCCTCCCCTTGTCTCTGCATTTCTCTGGCATCCCTTTACGCAGGGAGCTGGATGTTTGCTGAGCATGCTGTCCCTCATTCACCTGGCAATTCCTGCTTTATTTCGTGTGCATACGAAATTTGGGAGGTTATTAACTCCTTTGTGATGCCTTCTCCCTGCTTAGCACCTCTCAGCCAGAACGCCCTGCGTACGGCAGCGAACTGAGGTCGGGCGAATCGAGCCCGTTTTCAGGTGGGGAACCCGGCAGCGAAACGCCCGCAGCAAGGAGAGCGACAGAGCAAAGGTTAAGGTTTATTAATACGCAGTTTCCTACGCTGCCTTTTTGTTGTTCAGCACTTTTTCCTCTTCCTTCCCCCACCCTCCTCCAGACCACGCCGGGTGCCGGCGCTGCTTGGCGGCCCGCCGGCGGTGTTTGGCTTCGTGGTGTGCCAGGGCTCAGGAGTCTGCGGCGGGGCACCCGGTAAGCAGCTGCTGTTTGCCTTCAGATGCTTCTGTCCGTGCCCGTCCTGGTCCAGCATCACCTGGGGAGACGGGGCAGGAAGGAATTCTCCCGTAGAGCTTTCCTACGTCTTAATTACAGGCTGCCTCCTCGCCGTGCTGGGGCTTTTGAAGCTGGTGTCCGCTACGCTCCCCACGCGCGCTCCTCTTGGTTTCTAGAGCAGGTGTGGTTCATGGGCACAGCTCACCCTTTGAGGGTTTTTTTGGGGAAATTTAAGTCCGATTAGGCCATTCGGGTTGTATGGGACATAATCAAAGTTTAGCAAGAAAGT